ATTTTAATCAGGCATCTCTTACCAGCATGGCCCACTAAATGCTTTTCAAAAAAAATATAATTCACTCAAGTGCTGTTATATGGATTAACAAAGCTACGATTATAAAGTTGGATACATCTGTAGAAATGGTGTAATTAGGTGACTGCTCTCACTGTATGAACTTAAGGCTAAACTTCAAACTCCACATTTTATAATCTTATGATTGCATGTGTTTTTAACAGCTTTTAAACTTCATTTCTTACTTATTTTAGGACTCTAATGATTTTTTTTCAAACCCATAGTAGAAAGAAAGAAGGGTTGACATCAGTTCTGCTTCATTACTTCCCAGCTGCCAGTAAACAAAGTGGATTTGACGCTTCAAACTGCTGAAGATTTGATGTAAACAAAGTCTAGTAAATGAGGTGCTAATGCCTAGCAGGGCATTGGCACCTGGAGGCTACATTCTCTTGGTTCTCGCTGTCAACCAGCTGCACTTCAAGGGTTTATTGCTCAAAAAGCTGAGTTTTTTTTAGCTGTTTTGGTTTCCTGTGTTCCAAGAGAGCTAAGTATGGTTTCCTCAGGCTTCATCATGGCTCCGGCTTTAGAGTTAGATTCTTTTGTGGCTATCCAAGACTCTTAACCATGGCCGTCATGTTGGGGGAGACAAGTTTGAGGATTAAAGGTCAGTATACTTGCTGTGCCCAGCTTTACTTTGTTTCCTAAAGGCTATTAGGCAGTCAGAGCAGAATCACCTTCTCCAACATAGAAATTATTTCCAGATCAGTGCTTCTGTCTTCCTTTTTGCGTCTGCTCTGTCTGCTCAAACCCACAGCCAAAAGAAATCTGCTTAACCAGATATTGCGTATAATGAACAAAGGGATATACACTGGGAAAAAAATCGAAATCTAGATAAGTCATTTTTTCTTAAAATAAATGTATTTGTTCTTGGATTGAGGAGGCAAAAGAGACATTTTGCCAATTGAACAAGACAGTTTACATTTAAAATAAGAAAAAAACTATTGCATTTTCTTATTTCAAGTGCATATTATCTAATTATCTTATTTTAAGAGTAAAAACACTCATTCCATTCTCATTTAACTACTCAAATTAAGGGTAAATACACTTACTTGATTTAAGATATTTTTACTTATTTCTAGATGGTTTTTCCAGTGTAGACTGCTTACAAATCTGCGGCAAATTTTGGACTGACTGTAGAAATAGATTAATAGAACAGATTCTAATCAGGATGAGAATCACGCTAAGAAATTATTTCTACAACCTGGTTCCTTAAAGCAAACAGCGTTGTGTACTTTAAGCCTTTCCCTCTCTGAATCAAGCTTCTTGGCACCACAGGTAGAAATGTGGATAAAGTATTTAAATCAAACCAAAATCTCAGAGTCAACAGCATGCTAAAGATGTCCTGTAAAGCCACAGGTCTAAGCTCTTGCAGCATCATATGGAAGACTAAGGCTATCTTTGCCCACCAGTCACTCACTTTCCTGTAATTACAGGCTGCTGCCAGCTGTTCACAGATGCATGATTAGTGTAATACAGAAAGGTAGAAATGTTCATCTGTCCCTGTTGATGCCATCCTCAATCATTTGACCTGATGAGTCCTTATAGAAACTGTAGTGGCCTTTGTTGGCACTCTTGCTCTACTATAAATAATGTCATGGTTCTTTGTTTTCTTTCTTGTGTTTGTTGGCCCTCCGGGGACAATAATGTTTATCTTACTTTTTAATAGGATAAATAGTTGTCCTTTAAAATGTTTTTTTTTTTTTTATGATTAATTTGGGTACAATTATTAAACAGGGTAACATAATTAGGGCTGCAACTAACAATCATTTTTCAAATCGATTGATCTGTTGATTTTTTTCGATTAATCATAAAGGTTGCTTAAAGAAGACTTTTTGCTAAATTAAACAAAGTGGAAATAAAGCTTTTCCACTTGAGGAGTTCTGGGTACAGAATATTGACAGATGAAAAATATTTTTATCTTAAATGCAAAATGTTTACACATTTATTTATTTATTTATTTTTTTACAATTTTCATATAATTGCTGCTCAAGGTGGGCTGCTCTGTCAGTTAGACATATTTTAGAGTCTCTACTGCCCAGTTAATGATTAATCGATTAAATTAGTTGACAATTATTTCAAGAATAATTGATTAATCATGATTAATCCAATAAATTGTTTTAAACCCTAAACATAATACTAAAAAAACTTTATGTTCTTTACTTTGTTCTAAAAAAGGTAAATTAAACTGAATGTTTTATGTTCAAGTGATCTGCTTACTTATTACAGCTTCATTCAAATAACATCATCTCCTGTTTTCCCAGAGTATGCATAGAGTTTAGGACAAAACTATTAGCCCTCGTACGCAACTGCAAGTTTCCACACTTTTTACCAAATGTTCTCAAAACAGATCTATTCTTACCACATCTTTTCCAAACATCTTACCTAATATTTTGGAGGCTTCCATTAATTTACTGTCCACCCAGAAACTTAATTATTCTACTGGAAAGAAGAAGATAACCTAAAGAGCACCATCCCCACAGCAAAACACGGTGCTGAGAGAATCATGCTGTGGGGATGCCTCAGTGTGTCAAGCACTGGGAATCTCATTAAGATTATTAAGAATGATAAAGAAAGAGGGATACGTGTATATTTTGTAATATCCTCAGTTTTTAGCTGGAAAGTTGCCAGGGTTTTTGCTTTGTACTCAGATGAATTAAAATAAGCATTCAAAAGAATTGGCTGGGACTCCTATATTCCTATATTTATCAAAAAGGAACCCATAGTTATTACCATTAGCATCAAGGGCATGATCGCTTTGACCCTGGTAGTGTTTGGGGTTTTTTTTTTCAAATCAGTTTGGATGTAAGCACAAAGCGATATAATGAAAAGATCCAGAATAAAATTGCAATGTTTGGAAAAGCAGAGTTGGAATCAGCCTGTTTTCCTGAGAATTGTTAAATACCATACTTTGCTAGTTTGGTTCCCCTGCAAGTAGGGTTGTCAAAAGTATCGATACTGAAACGTTGTATCCGGATACAATACTCATTTTCAAAAGTATCGAGTACCAGTCGCACCTAAACAGTCATCAGTCATCTAAAGTGCAGAATAGAGGAAAATGCACTTTCTGAACACTGTGTGATCGAATAATTTTGTGCACTTTTCAGTTTCAGACTTTTTTTGTAACAGGTGCAGCTGCTGAGAATTATTTTTGTTTCTTAACCGGTTTGGCTAGTGTCATTGTTATGTGTGCAAAGCATAGCCAAGTAAGGAAAACTTCATTTTAATTTTGTAAGTTTGTTATCAAGCTTGCTAAATACTTTGCACAGAAAACAACCTCAAAATGTTGTTCTTATTGTTTATTGTATTTATTTATTTATTGTATTTTAATTATTAATCAAAATATTTCTGTTGAAATTTTATCCTTGTGGTATCGAAAATGGTATCGAGCATCAAATATTTTCCTTACTATCGGTATCGAGTTGAAAACTTTAGTATCGTGACAACCCTACCTGCAAGAAAACTAAAAATGGTTAATTTTTGTCATTTGTCACTTCGTTGCCTGATTAATACAGTTTGACAACATTTGTGCATAACTTTTGATTCCTCATCATATGGTCAACCATCTAAAGGAGCCCACTGAGGCCCTGATAAATAGAGATAAAGTCTGAAAAAACAGCAAATTAAACCGACTAATAAAATGTCCACTTCAGAGATGTGACCAGCCCTGATCTGTAGGTGAATATCCTGAAGCTTGGAACTACGATCTCTAATGTTCTGCATGGGCTTGTTGGACCTGCAGTCCTTCTCAATGAGTCGTAGCAGCCCATTGCTCTCTGGACTGAACTAGAATTATGCAGAGTTTGCCCAGGAAAAAAATGGCTCTTTCACCACAGACTATTACAAATGTTTGGTAGGAACCATTCAAACTGTTACTCTTTGGATTAACCCAAACAGCAGCCATTATAAAGGACAATGGGCATTATTATAGCATTTTAGATCATCATTCTTGTGAGCAATAGCACAATTTTTAATATCACTTTATAGTTTAACACAGCTCAGAGCAGCTTTATCTGTGGCTTCTGTCATTATCTTGACATTATGACAACTTTCAGTAGATTTTTATTTTAAATAAATTAAATCTCTTTATTTTTAAATCGTGCCTCATAGCTCACCTCTACTTTTATGCTTTTAACACAACCTGATGGTGACTTTTTATTGTATGAGTCTGTCTTTGTCTTTTATTGTCATGTCCAGCATTTTGGTTAACCTCGTTTTAAAAGTGCTTTATAAATAACGCTGCAATTGAATAACTGACCTTATCTGTTATTCCACATAAATGCCCACCCTCCTCCATCCAACCCAGTCTTTCTGAAAGCCTTCTTAGAGCCTTTGACAATTAAGATCAAGGGTTAAAAAGGATGAAATTATGATACTGTAGTTAAAGATGGGTTTAGGTAATTCCCTGACCTGATGAAAAATAAAAAGCCTACAGGTTCACAGATCCTTGCCTATAATTATCAATATGATTAAATTTTACAGGACTTGAAGCATCAGGGACTTCATGAAAGATAGATTTATTTTCAAGCTTTTGACACGTTTGCCAGCTGTGCTAATTGCTATGGATTGTTCTGCAGATTGATAAATAATATGGAAGCTTTAGCTCAAATCTGATGAGAGAAATATCAGCTTTCTGCCTCTTTTAAATTAGGTTTTTCCCAGCAGGGAAACATCTAAAGCATGCAGGACAATGTGCATCAGAAATCAAGGTTAGGGAACACATCCATGTAAAAGCAGTCAGCTCTGCTTTTGCTTTTTCTTCCAAAAAAAGGACAAACCATCTCAGCTGTGTGATGGTTTGAGGGTTTTTTTTATGTCAGATGGCCTAACATTAATTCTCTTTGGCAATTATTTCGTCTTTTAATGTTTAATCTGACCTAATAACCAAAATATTAACAAAGAGACCTAATAAAAAGTGATTTATAGACACCATTACAAACCATTCCTAACTGGTTAAATACTTTTATTGCCACCAAACAGAGCATCATTTCCTTTAATCTTATTTACTAATAAGTCCAACATGACTTCCATTATAAACCCTGTTTATAAAAAATCCTGGTCTCCTTTTCTAAAGTGCTTCTGATCAACATGCACCAACAAAAACACAAGGACACCTTTAATTAGATCCTAATTAACTGATAAAATCCCAGAAAGCACTGATATTGTCAGTCTGATCTTATAGTGACAGGCTTGTCAGTGCAATCAGAATAAAGTAGTGCAGAGTTTTATGCAAAATAGATTTCCTGGTAACTTTATAAAGTGCTTTTTGCCTCCTACAAACTTTAAAGCAGTTATGTCTTTAGCTCAAAGCTCCGCAGTGCAGAGAATCAGAATGCAAAAAGTTAGAAATGCAAAAAGTTTAAACAGCGTGAGATCCAACCCATATTCAAAGTCTTCAGCTTTTTTCATTCACCAAGTGGGAACCGTTGATGCCACGATAGGTGACCCGGCTGGGACGGACCAGGACGCCGTAGCCAGGTCGACACGTGAAGTAGCGGCGGCCGTCTACGGAGCCGTCGTTCTTGCCCTTTGGACTTCGGAGCTCCAAACCAAGCCAGAGCCCTGGCGCAAAGTCCGCTGCTCCCAGGAAGCGTATAAAGGCCATCTCGTTGGCGCTGGTCAGGAAGACCTGCATGCCCACCTGGAGACGCACCTGGCTGTCTGAGCAGGCGGAAGGACTAGATCCTGCCGTGCTTCCGGGAATTCCTCCACTGCTGCCGCTCAGGGTGCTCCAGCGGCGACGGTGAGGAGTAGAACGGCTCCTTCATGTGTTTTTGTTTGTGAAAGTACAGGGAACAAAAAACAGAAAGAAAGGTTTATGAGAAAATATGCATAGAGGTAAATAAACACCAGGTGACAAACCGGAGCGTCATCTTCCATAGTTTAATCCTCAACTGATTCTCCTCAGCAGAAGCATCTAGCGGCGATTTTAAAACCTGCTAAATCTGTCACTGTAGCACAGGATTCAGATGAAGCTGAAAACCTAAGGAGAGAAAGAGGTTTAAAACTGTTGAGGAAAGCTTCTCACCTGGTGACGGGGCTTCTCCTGCTCAGCTCCTTTGGTGTGGCGATGGCTGTTGATGTGCTCAAACTGCGACGAATCGTCCCTGGATGGATATCAGGAGAGTCACAGAGATGCAAAGAGCTGACATCACACTACGAAATACAAACTGAGCTGAAGAAGGAAGCTTCAATCCACTCATCATGGATATGAATGTCATCAAAGCTACTTTTACTAAGGTACTACACCATTATTTTGCTGTATTCCAATCAAAGCCACACAACGCCATACATCTTCAACATGGTAACAAGACAAAGCAATGTCTAATAAAGACTGAAGTCGTTGGACTGACCTATACTTAATGGGACTAGAGGAAAAGTCTAAGAAGTTTGTGCAGGTTGAAGCAGAAATTTGAATTTCTACTTCAACCTGTCTATTTCCATTTGACAGATTGATGTAGAAGTAGTGTCTAATTCTTTTGAAGCTCATCAAGAGAATACCAAGAGTGTACAAAGCAGTAATCAAAAGGTGGCTACTTTTAAAAACCTAGAATATAAGACATATTTTCAGTTGTTTCACACTTTTTTGTCAAGTATATAATTCCACATGTGTTAAAGAAAACTCTTCTGTCTAGGTATGTCCAAACTTTTGGTCTGTACTGTATATAATTAAGCTTTTATGTATATAAAGAAAGAAATTAAATGTTTCCTTTTTTAACCCTGCAGTTAGATATATTGTAGACTCTTCAATCATCATGATCATTTAGCAATGCTCAAACCCTAAATTAATGACTTGATTAGTGCATGACACACCTCTGACTAAAGCAATACTTTTCAAATAACTAATCCTTACCACTGATTGGATGACGGAGACGTGAGGAGGTGAGTTCTGAAAGGCAATCGACTGAGCCGTGGATCCTGGTAAAGGGAAGAAGTATTAGTCTCTTCGCTGGTGTTTAAAAGAGATTTCAGCATCGCATAGGAATTAATAACCTTTTAGATTTTATTACAAAATACAGAAAATTTTAAATAGTTTTAAAAGGCAACTAGAGTCAGTCTCCTCACAAGAGCCATAGGAGCTCCAAGCACAAATCCAAAGATATATAAGAACAGAAATAAAAGCTTTTACTTTCTAATAAGTGGTTTGGCTGCTGACAGCAGAAGAATACAGAAGGAGAATAATGTTAAATCCTTCATTAGACAGTTGGAAAGGATGCACACTTTGTGTCTTGAGATTAATTAGGAAGTAAAGAAGGAAAAAGAAAGATTTAAAGTTCTAAAAAGCTGCTTTTGTCTAAAGAAAGACACAAACAGTAGTGGAAAAAATATACATATGAAAAGGGAAGGAAAAACCCTGAGAGGACATCATGAACAGAGACAAATTATCCGAAGAAATGAAAGTGCAACAGTCCATCAGTTCTGATAAAGCCTTTCACAGACGCACACATTGTTATAGATGTCAACTGCCTTTTAATGGCTTTTATTCAGTTATGACCATTATACACTTGAGGCATCGGGCTGCTAATGTGCCATCCGATAACTCAGTGACTCCATGAATATTACTGTCAGGGAGAATTTCCCCAGGATGAAATTATTTCAGTAAAACAGCCGTCCTGGAAGTCCCAACAATTAAGGCAACACATCTGTATCTGCAATAAAATAATCCAAACAAACCAAGGGAAAGGAAAGAGAGATGTAACCAGCCTGGTATGAAAACAGAGCATAAGGATGAGATCAAATGCAGAATAACAGGTGTCCTGTTATGTGCCGAGCCATTTTGTGTTAGCATTAAGTGCAAAAAGCAAACTCTTCCTCAATTCATGTTGATTTTACAAAAAAAAAAAAAAAAAAAGTTTGCATGATAAGTTTGCATGATTTATAAAAGAGAAAAGACATATTTTGAGTCAAGGGTATAAAAACGTGTTGCAGGTATCGAGCTTTCACGCATTCGTCAGCAGAGATCCAATGATAAGGGTTTACAAAAATTTCACTTTCTGTCTGATTTGGATTTCAACCAGACAGGAAGTAAAATCTGTAAAAGCTGTAATTTGACATAATAGGCACAACAGAAAGCTTCAAATGCAATTTTTGCATTCTAGATCTAATTTGTTTTTTTTTTTATATTTTCTTCATCTGCAAAAAAAACAAAATGACAATAATTCCTCTTAAAGATAATAGTGTTTATCCTGTTCATGTTGGCATAAAAACATTCCAGCTCCCAACCTCCATCTGATTGGCTGGTCTGTTAATTGGCTGAAAAATGTGGAATGTTTTGAGTTGTCACACATTTCATTAATAAAATAAATAAAACCAAATATTGTTTCCATTGTTTTCCATGATAATTATGGATCAGTGCTATTAAAAATAAATGGTTGATTCCAATCTCTGGCAGAAGCAGAAATGGTCAAAAACAACAAACCAAGGAAATGTTTAAATACCTTAATCCACGGTTATAAAAGTGCATTCGGCTTGTGTTTCATATTCAGCGGCTCGTTAATCGGCAGCAAATGTTGAAAGCTTTTGGAGACACTCTGCATGTTTTACACAGGAGACAGGAAGGGGGACTGGCTGGTTGAAAAAAGATGGATGGTGACCGACTGATTTTCTGTTTGAACGTCCGGCTGTTCCTTCATGTATTCAGTCAGACAATCAAAATTGCATTATTCCAGACTCTCTTATTGCTGCACTCTAACAAAACCTAAAAGCCTTAAAACTAATCTGCAGTTTAATCATCTTCTACTTTGTGATCCCAAACAGATGCATCACACAAACCCCATTTTAACATGCAGCGTTGCTGACAGCCAGCTTGTGTGAATACGTCTTCCTTTAGATATTCGTTATCTTCATTTAAACGCAGACGTTACGGCATCTGGCTCATTACAAGGTGTCATATTAAACTGAAAAGTCTTGCTGAGTGAAGGCCCCGGGCTTCACATTGGATAACTCTGACTCTAGTTAATCACCAGAACAGAGAAGCGTTTACCGCACAGAGGGCGAAATCAAATGTGTCAGCAGTCACGCAAATGGCACTGTCAAAGGAACTCATTAGTGCCATCAGACTTATATATGAGGGCAATCAAAGGCAGCCTTGGGGATTTATTGTTGAATCTGCTGTGAATGTTAAATCATTTTATTTTTTTTAGTGGTTAAGTCTGTTTTTTTCTCTCTCTACAAATGACCACTAATGACTGTAAGGACAGGATCCAGGCTACATTAAAATCTTGAGTTCTCACCTTTGAACACGGGAGGGAGGAGCAAATACTCCATGTTTGGGAGGACAGCTGAAGTATCTGACTCCTCCAACTGAGCCGTCATTTTTGCCACTAGGCTTGTCCAGTTCAATGCCCAACCAGATACCTGAGGAGAAACAGAGATTAAAGCGAACATTAGAGGAATCACTTCAAATAGTGGAAATGTTGCAAAGAAAGATAAATGGACGCTCCTAAAGTTCAGCTGCTCAAAAACAAAACCAACAATAATAAATAAAAAAAATATATGAATAAATCAAAAACGAAATCTTAAAATTGTTAAACTACAGGGTGCATCATTTTCAAAACATTTTTTTTTTCATGCCTAAATCTTCTCTTCTCTTAAGATAATTTTAGAAGAACAAAGAGAAAAAGGTTGAGTTAAACATAATAGCACATATTTTTAAAATTGTCTGCTTCCAAATAATGCACCAGCATAAACTAGAGATTGATTCAGCAGAGGGATGGATGGAGGAAAGAAGAGATAAATAGCGGCACATCTTGGAAAAACAGGCGGACCACAGGGTGAACGGACAAATGGAAGGAAGGACCACTGAGTGAGTGGGTGGATGGACACAGGAATCCATGGATGCCTCCCTCTGATAGCTGAAGCAACACAAGCAGATGGATGGATACAAGAGAACGTATAGATATGAGGTCTTTTTTCCTTTTTTTATGTGAACCTTAATTTAAACTTCCAGGTTTTTACAGGGTGAAGCTCAACTTAAATGATGTGTTATTGTGTCCATCTAATACATCTATAAAACATAGCTCTGTTATCATCCTTATAAGTAAACAGCAGTAACTACAAGCCAGCATGACTTCACACAATATTCACTTTCACCATTTATGACCTGGATCACAAACAACAGTTCTGTAGCTACATTTTATAAACAAGCTTTCTACACAGACAAATGTCTGAACTCCTTACTCTAAAAAACAACTGAGCAAATATTAGAACTAAGGTCTTATTAAGAAACATGTTGTCAAAAAGTGTTTTTGTTTTTTTGCAATTAAGAGCAAAAGAGAATCAAAGGACTGAGACCCCACCATGGTGGCAGACATAGTGTGTATCCATTAATATTTAGGAAGCCGTTCTCTTCAGCCATGAGTCATGTGAGCTGCTGTGATTTTGTTTGATGCTGATTTGGTCTGAAGCAGGTTGTCTCTCAGGAATGTTTCCAGATTTCCTGATTATCACTGAATCAGTTTCATAGTGAAAGTATAAAACAACATTCAGAAAACAATAATTATGATCATTTAACTTCAGCAGCACAAGTAAATTGCTCCACGGCCTAAAGAAATTAACTGTTCTTGAAGGAAGAATCAAGTGAATAGAAAAAGGTTCATTTGTTTTTCATTTCAAAGATTTCAAGCCTCATAGATTTTCTTTTCTTTAATAAAATAAGTAGTACATATACGGGGAGAATATGAGTTATTGCAGGATTTAAGGAAAATGTAGGGTCCCATATTTTTCAGAAGTGGATCATTTGTTTTTGTGGGTGTTTTGTGCTTACATGAAAAACACAAACTATTACAATATGTTTCAGCTCAACCATCAACTGCAAACTTTTGATGAAGCATTATCAGGCACATGATTAACTGAATTAAAAATATATATATATTAGAAAAAAATCCTAGATACTTGAATCTAGGAAGTTATATTTTATTCAGGCACTGATTTAATTAAATTAAAATGTTGACTTTTTAAATATAACTTACTGACATTTTTTAAGTTTCACATGTTCCTCTTTACTAACATTGACATTTGCCTGAATTAACTTATTTAATTATGAGAAGGACAACAGTTGAAATTCTTGTAATCTTAGATTGTTATTCAGATCATCTTAAGTATATTAAGTATTCATTGCTATGGTAACAGGTTAAAACCTGAGTAAAGGGACAGATTATATTTGACTGGAAATTATGATAGAAATTGAGGCAAATAAATACTCTGAATAACAGAAATGTTGTACAAGGTTTTTAATACATATTTCTTCTGAAAGTATAAAGAGGAATGATCTATAGAAAATACTGATATGTCAAAACAGCCGAGCTCTGGGCAAATGGTTCAGTAGACAAATTTAATAAGCTGCATCCATTAAACATTAAATCAAGAAAGTTGACTTTCTTTTCCTCCAAATGGCTTAAAGGGTTTAAATAAAGGATTTTTTGTATGTTGAGGGAAAGAGCTTAGGAACACAACTAAAAACATATATCATATGCCTGCGATAATAAGAAATGTTGAAAGATATATCATCAAAAAAAAAAAAAAAAAAAAAAAAGAAAAACTGATTTTAAACTAATTTATCTATTATACTTGATTTACCTTGAGCATCATCAGGGAGGCGCACAAAACAAAAAGCCATATTAGGGTGCGTTCAGGGCTACTACTAGTGTTGCACTGATACCAGTATTAGGTGGGGCCCTGATTCAGCACTAAAATGATGGTATCGGTAGCAGCGAGTACCAACAAATAGGGCAACGATACCATTGTGAGAGCCAAAGGTTGATTCAACTATTGTCACCCATTCCAGGTAGGCAATAAAAAGTTCTACTGGATTCACTTTGTATTTGTCTTTTTCCTGCTTCACAAAGGGAGGCAGCAGCTTGAGAAAGCCATGATGGCAATTATTTTACATCCAAACAGTATGTAGTTCTTCATATATATACACACACATATCAATTTCAAACAGATGGTATCGGTATCTAGCCTGGGTGCCATTCCGAACTTAGTCCCGCCCACAACGATTGAGGTCGGGAAGTTCGGTCTGGCATTGCTCAATAGTAGCGCGAGTATGCTCGCACAATATCTGGCGGGCCAATCAAATTGTCAGGGCGGGCTTTATACGATGATGGACAGATGATCAACAGTAACGTAATCAACCACTTCACCAAAGCGCGCTTGGGTGACAACAACAATGGCTGCCGCTTGAGAGTTGAGGTGTGTAGATTCTGCTATTAGGTCTGTTCTAGAAGATATCGACAGCAAATTAATTTTAAAAGAGGAACAGAGAAACGCGATCAAGGCTCATCTTCTTATTATAGGCGTGCAACTGCACGCTTTGATTTTTGTTGACAACAACTATGCCTCGCTTAACATAAGTCACGCACTCCGTTGCTCTTATTGGTTGTAGGTCTATCCAATTGAGTGCAGAAGCATTTTTTTTCCTGGTTCGTTCGAAACACGCCCCATAATCACAGCTCTAAGGAGCAGTATCAGACTCATATTCTGACTAGAATTGAGTAGGACTACGTCAGGCAAATTGGTATCGGCCAATACTTCACAGCCCAGTATCAGAGCCAAAAAAATGGCATCGGCGCAACACCAACAACTAAATTTATTTTGTGTGTCAGCAAAACAATAATTTCCATAAAAGCTATAAGTTTCTGTATTCTGTGCAGTTTATTTGAAATTTCAAATTAGGGACATGAAATGTCATTCAATTCTTCAAAGAGCCATATAGGCTTTTATTACTCTTTAGTTTTACAGCTGATGGGCTCCTAAAACCATTAAACTAATAACCCTGAAGTTTGGTTGTGATTCTGACTTATATTAAAGGGTTATTACCCTGTTTCTGTTTTTATCTTGAAAATGTTTGGTGAGCTCGTTTTCTAAACCTATTACACTCAGAAGATTTTGATTTAGTAACTCTACACACATAAAATCAGGAGAAAACATTGCATATTTTAACCATTTCTGAACTTTTAGTTTTAGATTAAGAGTTAGAAAATAAAGGGAAACACAAAATATTAAGAAGTAGAACTAAAGAAAAAATGTGATTTACTAACCAGGAGCAAAGCTGGTTTTCCCACAGAACTGAACAATGCCGGTCCTCTGTCCCGCCACCAGCACCCTCTCCCCCTGTCGCACCTCAGAGTCGTACAGAGAGCTGCTGGCTGAGGGGGTCCTACTCCTGAAACCTGAAACACAGCGGACAGTTCATCTGTTTGAGGCGAGCGGACTTTCTTTACAAAAAGGAACCTTCTGAAACCTTCACTGGGTCAGTGATTCATACCGACAGCTGGAGGAGCTGAGGAGCGCGATGAGTGGAGTGCGGGTGGTGGAGTCATCCGGAGACTTGGGGAGATGTTCTCCTTTCTCTGCCTAGGAGGGAGGCGCTGCCTTGGCAGAGGATGAGGTCGGCCACCTGGTCCGTGACGAGAGTCCAACGAAGATGAAGAAGACGAGAGGGAGCGGGAAAGTATCCCTGTGCAGAAAATCCAAGCAGAAGTTCAGTGGAAAACAAAAACATGCAGACATTCCCGTTATTATATTAGCAGGATAAAGCATCCAGAAAGCCAACATTACATCAGGGTTTATACACAGAAAAAGGGAAGAAGGAAAGCAAGTCAAGAAAAAAAAAGAGGAAGGACACTAGTTAGGAAAGGTAGGAAAGAGGGAAGAACAAAGTGAAGAAAAAAGTAGCAGATTGAGAAAACAGACAGAACAATGAGAAAAGGGCAAAAGGAAATTAAAAAAAAGAATGGAAAAAAGAAGGTAGGAACCAGGAAAGGGGAGGAAGGACGCAAAACTGAAGGAGAAGAAAGTAAAGATGAGAGAATACACCCCAAAAATTGAGGTAAAATCTAGGAAGAAAAGAAAGGACACAAAGAAGAAAATGAGGTGGGATACAAGGAAAACAAAGGAAGGAAATGAGGGAGACAAAATTGGTACAGAGAAAAAGAAAGGAAAAAAGAGAGGAAGGAGGACTTATATTAGGAACAAAGGATGGACAGAAGGAAGTAAAAGCAGGATTGAGGGTGAGGAAATAATGCAGGGGAAACATTTTTTAGAAAAGGAGAACTCTTAGGAGGATGGAACAGAAAAAGTAAGGGAATCTAAGTAAATCAAGCTATCTGTTCCTTGGAAAACAGAGAAACCAAACGTTCTCAGACTGTGTAGAAACCCAGCAGCTGTCTGAAGACACTGAATGAATAAATCCACCATCTTTCCATTCAGGTCTGACTCAAACTAGGATTTAATGATGATTCCTTATTTTATAGTGACATATTAAAGAAATTCAGACAATTAAAGCAGGTGTTTTTTTTTTTTTTAGAAACCTCCAGCAGTACAAACAAAGGCCTTTATTGCTTTTGTTTCTAGTGAGCGATTAGCGGGATCCAACGTGTTTATGCTCTCCTCCAACATGGTGGGGAAAACATGGGGCAGAGGGCTGCAATTCCCTCCTTAGAGGCCATTTGGACGCCGGACCTCATTAGGCTTTTACCTTCAACAGACCTTCCCGGGTTGTAAGTTCATTAAATAGCCACTGCTTTGAGGGTAATTGATCTGATCTGTGCCAAAGTGCTTTAAGAGGAAGATTAGGCCCCAAACAAACTGTGAAAAAAGAGACAGTAATGGACATGAAACCTGTAAAAAGCCTCAGGGTTTTATAGCCATTTCATAACAATTTACAACACGTTCTCAGCATCTAAATGATGTTTGGGATCATCATTCAGCTCCCTACAGACAGACTTTAGATGCTGGATTCTTGTTTTAAAGTCCATGAAGATCGAGTGGTAACAGAGGCTTTAGTACAACACTTACAATTAATGCAAACACAAACAGAAACCATAAGCTCTAAACCAGACAGAACCAATTCAGGAGTCAGTACACACCACACTACCTGTCTTCCTGACTGAGCTGTCGTCCTCTGTGCTTTGACTGGGACTCGGTGGACGCTTTTCACTGTCCGGGGTTTTTTTATTGCAGGGGGATAAACCTTTCCACACAGACAGACAGTGCCCTCTTAACGACGCATACAGATGCAAACAAAAGCAAATACTGCACTGACCAGGACATCAAATCATCTGATCAAATTTTACCTCGAGTTCATGAATAATAAGCTGAATCAATATGATTATTATTCATTAATTTAAACACAAAGCTATCAAGGAAAATGATATACGCAAAGAATCAGGAACATCCTTGATGTTTTATTGTATTTAAGGAGGAGTGTGGCAAAGGGCTGCTAATTAAACGAACTGGACCATTAGTGTGACGACGTCCATTAGAGCCAGGGTTTAACCAGCTGTCTGCTCTGGAGCTTAGACAAAGTGTGTTAACAGGATGCCAAGTAAAGAAAGAAAAGAGCTATGAGAAGCTCGGAGAAAAAATGCTTAGAGAAACCGTAATAAAAACAAAGAGTCCAACTTCAGACCAACTAGTTCTATTCTGTTGTGTTTAAATGTTATTTTCTACCAGTATCGCATACTATGCTCTATAAAATGGATAGCGTGAAGTATTAGTTTCAGTCTCACAAGCTTTTGTCATAAAAAAATTATTTTAAAAACTATACTATTAGCATTTTCCTTTTTCTGTTTTTAAAATAAAGGGAGGGTTCACTTTTTTGTTTTTTGTCATCCCTTCTGCAGAATACCAGAATTTGCAAAGGATGTCATATTTTCATTAGTGTAATCATATATTTATATAAGTTAAATTACAGATTTTGATCAAATAAGTACATAGTATTCGCAGAATTTAACAAATATTTTCCTACTGTTAATAATTAAGTAAAAGAGTTGATTATACATCTATCCAAATACAGACATGAATTATAAAGTATGTTGAGCTGTGAAAGTGATGAATAAGTTACCCCTTTCTAAATATATAAAGGTTTGTTAATGTTATTGTTTTATAACTATGTACCCTCAGTAACCCCTGCCTGTGGGACAACGGATGGAAATTAGCCTTTGGCTACAATGTGGCATGTTTACATTCATGTGTGTCCATTAACATGCACGGCCCCCATCAAATTAATAAATAAATACATATTAATAATAATTATACCCTCACTTGGCTTAAGTTTTTACTTTCTCTACCCACCTCTGTTTAAAATGGTTTATAGAAAAAACATTTTAGGTATTTGTTTCGGCTTTGTTTAGTTGCCTGTAGAGGGCAGTGTGAGCATGACTGCAACAATAACTTAAAAGTTCTGGATCTGAACATGTGGATTATTGTTGCGATGTAGGTGCAGACTATAGCTTCACCATGATGATTTTTCTTTCCAGGAAGAATTTTGCGCAAAAAAAAAAAATATTCACCCTAAATTTATTAATAATCCTGACATAAGTTTAAAGTAAGAGTTTAATTTGATTAAAATTTTTGAAACTCTAGCAAGAGTGAGCACTTAAAACTGACAGAAAATGCTTAGAGAGATTAAGATTGTGGAGATGGCAGGGATGCAATTCAACTTGAATGTAAATGTAGCTTATCAGCAAGGAATGACCCGAAAATATCAGTGAAAACATTTAAATAGCTGCTTAGTCGTCATTAAAATGGTTCAAGGCAGATAAGAATGAAGCAATGACATGAAACAAATTAATTCACACATAATTTTGGCTCTTTAAACAATAATCATGAGTGTGCTTAATCATTTAAACACATCCTTTAAAAAACATTACTTAGTCTCCTAGTTTGAACTGATTTAAATAACTGATTCCAATAAAGACCAGATAATTGTTATGATATGTGATGCTGTTCACTTCCAAGAGGGTGATCTGTCTGTAATTATAAATTAGATCATGAATAACTAAGCCATGAAGCTCCAGGACATATCAAACACTTTCTACTGTCTAGATAAAACACCATTCTGAGCATCAAAAGGAGACAGTATGGTTAAAGGAGAAGTTCGGTTTTTTACACTTTAAGCCCATTTTCTGTAGTGTCCAGGATGAAATCGAATGATCGACACCAAAAGTTTGACAATTGCTCCTGTCTCTGCTTTTTGGCTCATTTAGAATCAACCCCTGGCTGCTTTAGAATGGCTAGCATAGAGCATGCCCGATAATGTCCTTAAAACAACCTTAAACGTTCTTTTTTTTAAATATGCTACTCACCATGTCGTCAGCGCTGTTCAATGACGTTCCAAAAAAAGTTTCGTGAAGAAAAAACGTTCCTGTAGTGTTTTATTTAGCATTTTGTAAATCCCATTGAGTTCTGTAGGAATAGTCAATATTCCGCTGCCACCGGAAACGGAAATGGGGCCTGTTTACACAGTTGTAGTCTTTTCGCTTCACTCTGTGTACTCCGACGTCGAGAATCAAGAATCCACCTTTCGTATTCCATTTTCAGAGTTTTTTAAAGTGTTTAACAGAGACGTTAGCACCTCGACGTCGGAGTACACAGAGTGGAGCAGAAACACTTGGGTCTTGCGAAAAGACTACAACTGTGTAAACAGGCCCCATTTCCGTTTCCGGTGGCAGCGGAATATTGACTATTCCTACAGAACTCAATGGGATTTACAAAATGCTAAATAAAACACTACAGGAACGTTTTTTCTTCACGAAACTTTTTTTGGAACGTCATTGAACAGCGCTGACGCACCCGGTGAGTAGCATATTTTAAAAAAAGAACGTTTAAGGTTGTTTTAAGGACATTATCGGACATGCTCTATGCAAGCCATTCTAAAGCAGCCAGGGGGTGATTCTAAATGAGCCAAAAAGCAGAGACAGGACCAATTGTCAAAATTTTGGTGTCGATCATTCGATTTCATCCTGGACACTACAGAAAATGGGCTTAAAGTGTAAAAAACCAAACTTCTCCTTTAACTAATGCAGAAGGGTTGGTTGGTCAGGTTGCAGCTAATCAAAACAAAAGCTACACATTCATTAAACAGGCATAATTCCCTCTGTTGCTAAAGCTACTGACTGAATTGTATGTATACAGTAAATAAAAGAACAACTCAACAATACACAAAAATCCCTAGTGTTAAAAACAAAACAAGCAAAGAATTATTCTTAAATACTAAAAAGCAATTAAATCCAAACAAAATCTAAAATATCAGCAAACAAAAAGCATTTAGAACAGAATTTCATATGGCAATGGGCTGAAGGTAACCGAAGTTGAAGTACAAATGTGCCTCTTTTCACGTTCTTATAAAGCATTTAACTTCAAGGTTGTTCTCCAGCGTATAGCTGTAAATTAAATCTATTCAAATAAGAAAAAAATGTTTTTTAATTGGCAATAACTGAGTTAACATCTGTGCAGCAAATGTAAGGGAATAAAAAAAAAAAATCCCTCATGAGGATTCATGAGAAAGTCATACGACAGGCATGTGCTGAAAAAGGTTGACTTTGGAGGCTCCTGGGAACGCTCTTGTCCTCACTTGACTGCATTCCAACTTAGCAAACGTTTCTTGTCACCTGACCTTTAGCTTGCGGAGCGCCCCTGGTGCCGTCCATTCCCTGCTTCGCCCTGATAGTCACTTCAGGTGGCAGAGCAAGGCTTTACAAGTCAAAGCAGAGCCCCTTTGTGATTCCACATCTGCCTCTCCTGCCCTCTGAGACACAATAGAGACTAGCCTGGCATTCTCCTCCGTCCGTCTCCCTCACTGACTGTTCAACAATGACCGAAGCAATCCATCGATAAACACGAGCAGGCTGTCTCCAGCAGTGATTCAGTGGGACAGTAAAAAGCAGGTGGCTCTGAAAGTTTGTGCTGACAAAAGCCCTGAGAAGTGTGCGCTCATAAATTAGCCTAGTTTAAGTTGCACAGCGGTGCAGACACGTTTGCCCTCAGATGCATTGCACGCCGTCCGTAAACACTCACTCACACACCTTGTGATTAATGGCTGCCAGGCCACTCAGCCTGTCTATGCCCTAGTTATTAAACTAGGCTTAATTGGACTATCAATCACTAAACTGCATAGGCCTCTCTGAGGTCCGGTATTCTAGTCACATCCCAATCAATGGGCCCTCGGAACTCTGATAATTAAAAAAACACAATATAGCTGTAAACCTGAGGAGTGGCAGGAATAACGAAAAAACGCAAGACAAGGTTTTTGATGGAAATTACCAACTGGAGTCATTTGTCTGAAGTTGGTGGAAACAAGCATTCAAGGACTGAGAGAGCAGGCTCCCGTCATCAGTCTAATATATGCATTGTCCTTTGGCAGTGGTTCAGAGCCCACTTTCATGAAAGATTAATATCAAAGTTGAGATGCAATAAATCCAGGCATGCAGTAACAAAGTTCACTCAGGGTAGGCAAGATAAAACAGGATCAATATTCAACGGGATAAAAATGAGCATAAAATCACATCTATATGTGACTTAACCATTTTCAGTTGATTGCTTCTCCCCTTGGCCCACAGTCCCCCCTACAGGAGGCCCAAACCTCCACTGTAGGAATGAACACTGGCAGGACATTCAATACAATTTATCTACACAGCACCAATTCACAGTAAATGGCATCTCTAGGTACTTCAAAAGACAGATGCCCCCATTTCGTATTCCGAAATATAGACGGTAATCCAATCACACCAAAGCACAGCTTTTCAGCAATCCCTTCTCCTGAAAAAGCACTTGGCAGTAGTGGATCTTTACTGCATTGAAATGTTAACTCTGCAAGTAACCACCAAACCACCTGGATAAATGTTTCCTGTGTCTCCCATAGTGGCGAACCTATGGAAGAAGTGGAAAGCAGAGCTCTACACTCATACATGGGATCAAAACCCAGTCATTGATGCAGATGACACATGTGTCAAAATAAAGACCAAGGATATCAACATGTACACGGAACACATCAACGCAGTGGCCAGAAACATCAAGTTCACCCAGGAAGACATGAAAGATGGCAGCCTTGCCTTCATGGACTGCGCGGTTAACATCATGGAAGACAGACAACACAGAAGTCTAAAGGAGACCCACCCACACCGACCAGTACTTCCGTTTTGACTCACACCAACCACTCGACCGCAAACTAGGCGTCATCAGAACCCTTCAGACATGAGCAGAAACCACTGCCACCACCAACAGAGGCAGGAGGAGAGAACGGGATCATATTAGGACATACCTGAAGAAATGTGGTTATTCCAGATGGGCTTTTCTAAAAAACCTACAATTTTAATGAGGCATGTGGGTGAAACCACTCTGATGAGGGAGTCAACGACAACCATTAACACCCCCCATGTGACCTCCTTAGCTAATCCCATGTGTGGGATCACAGCCCCCTTTTGTTTATTCCCCTCATTCTTTGTAAGAGCAAGAGTATATTAATCTCAGCGCTTCACACCCTTAGTTAGAACTGAAGAGGCCTCTTGAATGAGACATTAAATGTCGTCTAAAAAAAATTTAACGTCCAGTTGCTTAAACAGAACTTTTTCAAGCTTGGCCATGACCTGGATGACTGAGAATCTTCACAGAAGATTTCCTTCATTTCTATTCCACACAATCCCCTCATATATCTTCTCATTAAAGGTATAACGGAGGATTTTTTATTTTCGGGTGGATCATGTAAATAAGTGGTCCTCCTAATTGTCAATCATTCTGGAGATATGTTTACATAAGGCCGTTCTACGTGCTCATCCCGTTAGCTATCTTTTTCTGCACATGCACACTTTCAGGCGTATATCTGTGGTGAGCTACGGTTTCAGACAGTCATTGAAGCTCACTTTTCTCACTGTGGTTCTTTGAAAATGGCCGAGGGTCGTAAGAGAAAAACTGTCTAAAGTGTATGAGAAAAAAAAGAAAGGCCTCAGAAGAGGCAGATATATCCCAAAATGCTTCGCGAGGAGAGCTCTCCATGCAAAGCATTATGGGATTTGCTGTGACAGCGGCCTGCTGTCGCCATAGGCTGTCGCTACCCAACAGTGGCGACTAATAACAAAGATGGCGCAGGCACCGCGCAGTGGAGGAGGAGTTAAGTGACCAACGGAGCAGAAAGCAGTGATCATCTATCCAAATAGTAAGTTGGCTGAGTTCGCTATAAAGTCCACTATATAGTCCCCGTTCAGTACAGTGATTGAGGCATTTAGGGTTTGGGGAAGATGTTTGGACACAATAAGCTTGTATAAACAATAAGAAAAGCAACTTTTAAACAGAGCGTGCACGAGGAGAAATGGGCTCGTTTCTGCTCTCGCACGCACAGTTTATTTAGAGTGGAGAGGGCAGGTCTTTTAAAAAATTTGCGAAAATCCTCTTTAATACCTTCAATTGTGCATATCTGAGTTTGTTGATTTCCGCTGTGTTTATTTTGTTTATATCCAACACTGGAATAAATATTTTGTCAGGCAAGTTAGTCTTTTTAATGATTTGTGATTTCAATATTAATCAAACCAAACAAATAAGATTCCATAATCAAAAAGCCAAAAAAGTTTTTTAATAGAGGATAACCGGCAAACAATTTGAAATAATTCAAGACGAAGTTGAATTTGGATCAATGTGTAAATTATATATCTAGATATAAACAAGTCTCATACAAAGTATAAATTTATTATAAAAACACTATAAAGTCAAATACCTTGATCAGATACAGGTTATGTTTATAGTTATTGCTTGTGCATTTTTTGCTTCTCAGTATGAAGAGCTGTTCATAGAAAAATATATTTCTGCAGTAATTCTATCTAAAATGACAAAACTCTCCACTTCTGATTGGCAGACATTAGCCTGGTGACAGATCCTCCTTTTTATTCTTGAGTGGAATTTAGGTTCAGTAAAACAAAAGCAGTAAAAAAGAAGCCTTCGCTAACTGGATCAGGGAAATATCATCATTCAAAGACTGTTTCTGTGTACATCACACATTACAGGGTTCACTGCTCCCTAAGCTTCTTTAGGAGCACTTGCATTTACATCTAATGTAAGGAACCGCTGAAAAATTCAGTAACTCTTCCAGAACAGACAGGCGGGCAGTCCTAAAATGAGCTTCCAGATGAAATATCGCTTCCCAGGATGAGATAACAGCTGCTGTTAGACTTTGTGCTGAAAGCGTTTTGCATTCTGGCTTTCAGAGACTGAAATTGTTTTTCTATTTTCTTAGAATTAACTTTAGAGATTATAATTAAGATTAAGGTGTAAAAACAGTTTTTTTTTTATCTCCTGTTCATAAAATGTTAATAAACCATATTTTTAATTAGTAGCAGTCAAGCAGTAATAGAATTTGACTTGTTTTTGCATGTTTCTTTCTCTTAATCAAATCAAAAGCAATTATTTTGCTTGGATGCTAATTTAATTGTTGATTTATTTCCTTTTTTATTTCTATTTTTAATAATATTGTATCCAAATAAAATGTGAATCCTGAGAAAAACACAGACATCCCCTAATGCTCCTCACTTTATGACAAAGGTAGCTTAGTTCATCCTTCAGTTGGTATTGATTGTGAGACTGACTAGTTTATAACCTTGATCTCATTTTACAAAGTTTAATCCTGCCACAATCAACACCTTTTAATATAATTAGTCTTTTCTAATGAGAATACGTTTTGAACCTGAACTCTCTGAAGAGGCATTACAAAGGAAGGAAGCTCTTCCCCGACCTGCTGTTGTTGCAGGTCTCAACAGGTTTTCCTTTTTTTTCTTCCTCAACATTGTATCCATGGCCATCTCCTGGGAATGGTACGAGAACCTGTCGGTGTCATGACATTCATCTGCTGCCTTTTGACAAGATTTTTTTTCACTCACATTCACAAATATTCAGGAATTCATTGCTTTTCAAGGTCCTCGTCTCTTTGGTCGAAGTTATGACATGTCTTTTTATTAATGCACATAGTGGCAGAACTCCTCGGGGAAACATATTTTCCTAAAAGCCTTCATTGCTCACCTTGTTGCATTGTTCAGTGAACCTGACAGGGACAGAATACAGCTTAATCCCAAGAGCAGAACCAGGGAAATCACTGCTCAACCAGCAGGAGCTGCTGCATCAAATTCGACACATCCCCGTTTCCAATGAGTCTAAACAACAAAGACTTGATAAGCAGCTCTTATCTTTTACCTGTGTTAATCTTGGCAGTAACACGCGACACGTCAATGCGACGAGGGGGGCGTAGAGGAGTCTTTGCAGAGCTCGACTTATGTTTCTCCAAGGGTTTACTTATCTTGGACAGGGGAGCAAAAATTCCTACGGAAAACAAAATGGGATTCATGACTCAGATTAACGAGTGGGTGAGTCGGTGTGTTTGATCATCAAGCAGAGCGGCGTGACGTTTCCTACCGTGTTTGAATCGACAGGTGAAATACTGAACCCCTGCTACGGAGCCATCATTCTTCCCCTCTGGTTTATCCAGCTCCACTCCGGCCCACAGGCCTCCAGAGAACTCGGTGCTGCCACAGAATCGTAACGTCCCAACCTGTAAACACCAAATAACACGCATAGAATAACACTATGTAACAGGATGTCTATTAAAATGTACTATAAAAGCAGCTAAATGCCAAAGTAATATAAATATTCAACACAGACAAACATTTATGTGTTTGATGAGCCACGGCTGATTATATATTAGGATGAAAGCAGGAAGAGGATTTTATTTATGAGCTTAATGAGGTGGGGGGTGATCAAGTGAAGCTCTTTTTCTTTGTTTTGTTCATCTTCTCTACTGTATCTATATTTTCTTTTCTTTTTATTTATTGCCAAAAGTAAAAATATAATATATAATAGTTTACAATCTGATAAAAAAAGTGTTGAGGATTGGCTCATAAATTGGGCGTAAGATATATTAAAGTACATCAGTACATTAAAAAGGCTTATTATACTGTTAAAATTTGTTTTCCCTATTTTCTATTTTAATCAAAAGATAGAATAAAAAGAGAAAGAAAGGAGAAAAACAACTAGGGTCCCTCAAAAAAAGATGGCACATGTAAATATCTCAATTTTAAGGCATAGCTGAGTGGTTAGACACAATCTAAAATACCTGCTTTAGATGCTGTAGCCATTGCGCAATGGTTAGGGTTAGGTTTTTGCTACCAGTTGAAGTACTTGTAAAATATATTGGTGATCAATGATGTCTTCAATCTTCTAGAAAATCTTCCAGAATCTGTTTATCCTTGGCCGGTCCCAGAAAATATGTGTACGGTCTCAAACCATGCCCACCCCTCTCCAACATTTAAAAGTAACTTTTGTTTTCCAGTCAAACTCGCTCCAGTAATGGTTACAAATTCCTTCGTAACACAGGCATCTGATTTTCTATTGCTCATCTGTTATAATATCTTATTTCATCTCTACTTTGCAAGTGGCACATCTAGGCAGTCCTACTGTGACTGGCTGGATGTGCTCTCTTCATCCTCTGACATTGGAGCCGTCTTTGAGCTCATCTGCCTGGGCGCCTTTTACAGCTGCTTTTTGCAGTCAGGAAATCCACAAGGTTATAATACTAACTCTGGGCCCATTAAGAGTTAATAAAAAAACAAAGATTTAAAAGAAAACACAAAACTCTGATCAGCGCATCTATAGTTCCTACATCTATATTGAAGGAGAAGAAAATAAAATGTACAATAAGAAAACAGGTTAAGAGCCATAATTAGCAACGCTCTGAACAGATGGATCCAAATGTCTTTTCAGGCATTTAATTTTTCAATTATCCACAATAACATTAAAACATCAGTGGTTATTGTTTTTTTAGATTGTTCAATATTAATAAAAAATATGCAGCTACAAATAAGATAAGTTCTTATTTTCTTTTGTTGATGTAGTCTGTTTATTTAGTCTCTGTGCTTTAGTTTACAATTATGAACTCCAAGTCTCAGAGGAGGCAACATTTATAACTGATATCTGTTAAACTGACACACCCTGTTGGATCATGCATATTATTTAACTAAAGTAGATAAAATCTCACATATTGTTGGAAATCATTTACTTTGATTTGCATAATAAATCCTAAAACCTTCAAGTTTAGCACCACAACTTACGAATTTAACAACCTCCAACACTTTATAGCGTCGCTGACCTCATTTGAACTTTGAAACTTCTTAGAAAGAGAAACTTTCTATTTGAATCATTGAAAACTGACTACAGACCCTTAGACCATGTTCTCTCTTGCTTCCATAAAACAGAACATTTTTAAGGCCTCATTTAAATTTAATAAACTCCTGAGTACAGTGTGGAAGAAGCAGTCCCTGATGCTATAAACTCTGTTTCTGGGGGTATTTCAGATTTAGAGATTATTTTTTTCAAATTAATCAAGGAGGAAAACTAATATAAAAAAAGAGTAAAAGTGGTTCCTAACAGCACTGCAGCAGAAGTGATTCCTGTGTAACAGGAAGATAATCGATCTTAGCCACGTCAGGTTATTAGTGAAAAGATTGATTTTACTGTTTTTCCTATTACTTACAAAATAGTCAATTCTAACGCAGTAACCCATCCAAGATGAGTAGGTTGGTTACTTGTTATCTGAACCTGAATCAAATCAATCAATCCAAACTGAATTTTGAAGCAGAAAACTAAACACTTCAACACTACTCCACAAGCTTAATGGGGAACATATTTCCTCCCACAGAGCTTTCCTGGTTTACGTCAAAGAGATTACAGTGGTTTCCAGCCTACAGGCAATGATCGCTAATCAGAAAGACAAAAGATCTCTTTCAGGTATAAAGAGATTTTCTGAAAATATATTCTGATACAATTTTTATCTTAAATAAATTAGAGTTTTCTGTTGTGACGCTGCAAAGATGTGACAGCCAAGGGAATAAATGGTCTACTACTGAGGATATTCCTGAAATGTAACCTGTAATTACACACTGACTTGTCTGAAGACTTTGTAGTAATGCTCATTAGAGTGCTGGTTTGTGCTGATAACATGTGTGCCACTTTTGAGGAAATAAACATGTGTAATGAGCTCAAGTGAGAAGTATGAACAACAGTCAAAGTCTGGTTGACGCCGTTGGTGGTAAAGATCAAAGAAAGGTGTGAAAGCAGATTACTGACAGATGAAGAAGATGCATAATCACTATGAGGTTGTGAAGACATTTAAGAAGATGTAGAAAAAGTACTGAATAGTCATTAGATTGAGGTTTAGTTTTACATCAGTTGCATGACATATAGGTTTGCTAAATGCTAAATTAGACCAAGCACTCCTATGTGACACTAAAAATACCACATTTTCACTCACTGCGTGTAGGAAATGGTAATTTTCAATACTTTTTTGGATTATTTTTGTATAAAATATTTGTATCCTGTTGTGAGATTTATGACTATTTGCTTTATTGTAGATATGAGAATTCATCTCATCTTGATAAAACTTGGCTCAGTTTAATGAAAGACTTAAGCTGCTGAACCAGACAAAATAAGCAGGGAGGATTATGTCGCTTTCTCCTTTCACAGCAACATGAAACGCACCTTCTGTCCGGCTATCAACACACGATCCCCGAGTCGGATTCCCATGGAGGCCAGCTGTTTCCTTGCCTTATCAGAGAGAGCAGAGACCTGGCCTTGCGGTGTGAGGGGCAGAGGTGAGCTGGGTCTGGGTAAAGCCTGCCTCAGCAGAGTACGGAGCTCTTTGGCCACGGCGGCTGCATCGGCCATTTCCAGGGGCATATCCAGTGGGTCAGGTACAACGTCTGCTGGACACTGTCCTTTTTCATTCTGAAAAAACAGCGGACAGTTATTCAAGAGTTTAATACTTCCATACAAAAAACCCATAAGATGCAAGGCGGAAAAATAAACACTTTCCAAAATAGATGCATTTGATAGCTGGTGGTTCCCAACTTTCATATTGTGCAGCACTGCTGATAACTGAAGCCTGTTTTGCTTCATTATATCCATCTGTCTTCTTTGCAGGTCTATATATTGTTTGTAGAAAACTAGGTTTCATTTCAATAAAAAAGCAAAATTATGGTAGAAATAGGCATAATAAACCATTACGAGCATTATTTATTACAATAATAGTTAATTCAAAAACAAAAACTTAATTTCAACAAGTCTCTTTTTGTATTTTGCTTTTTTGACATTTTTCTTATTTGGATAGCCTGTAGCCCTCATCCCCCTTCAGTTATAAGGGTAGAAAAGAAAATTTAAGCATGGATCAGTTTTTATTTACATTAATGCTGAAATTTGGATTTGTTAGGGAACAATTCAAATAATGTCCTTTTTAACTTTACTTTGTTTTATAATGATCCTAAATAGTAACAATATCAATAAAGAGAGAGATAACATTTAATAAAACCTTCTATTTGAAATCATTCTTCTGTTTTATGTTAATGCACTTGTATCATTTAAATCCACTCAATTTAAAAGTATTTTGATGTCACCTCTTAATGTGTCCATAAAATGCAAATTTACACCAATCCTATTATATTGTAGCTGGGACTGGAAAAAATTTAAGCCCATTGCAAGGTACAATTAGCACTAAATTTCTGCTGACTTGTCTTTTAACATAATCAAAACAAAATAAATATGATATTTATCTTTATTTTATTTTCATTGAATGAACAAAACCTGATTCATACAGGCTATAACGCTCCTCTTCTTGTTCTCACTCATTCTCTTGAACTTTCAATTCGTTGATTAGTTCATGATAATAAAGACTGATAACAAGAAAACTTGAGATGTGTGTCAAACTTTTGAATTATTTGCTTGTTTCTTGTGGTTTTCTCTTATTATTTTGTTAAAACATAGGAGAGGACAAGTTTAAAGGTAATTTCTTTATTATCACGATATTAACATTATCAACAGAAAAAACACTGAAATAACTTGTGCATTTTTTTCTTTGGAGAAAGGAAGCACAAAACATAATTCAATTAAATTAAATTAAATAAAAAAACTACTGTATTTTACTTTGAACCATGCAGCTTATAAGAAGGTGTGGCTTTTCTGTGAATTTTTCCTCACCGCTAAAAGGGGAAGACAAAGTCTGAAATTAAAGAATAAGGGGCGAATTTTTATTTAGCACAAGAATATGATAGTAGTAGACATGAAGGAGAACAAATGTCCCAAATTCACACATTTTGACATTTATTTGGTGCATTAAAGGGATAGTTCGGTATTTTTGACATGAATCTGTATGGCATCCCCATCACCAGTGTCATGCAATCACACTGACTTACCCCTGGCAGCATCCTGTGAGCAGAGTTCTCGTCCAGTTTTGGTCAAGCCGAAAGTAGTCCGGCAGGTTTGCTAGAGCCAGCGAAATAAAACGTTTCTCTTCCCAAAACATTACGTGTTCAAAAGAGCGATATTTTTGCATCCCAAAAACGTTGTAGTGGAAAAAGTCACAAGTCGTTATCACTTGGTCCTATTTTCTCTCTGTTCGTATCAGTGCGCGCCGTCATTCAGACAGCGAGCTCAACAACAGCCAGATGCATGTCTCCCTCCGCCTAGCTCCTAGCTGGGCGGAGGGAGACATGCATCTGGCTGTTGTCAGGTTAGTAGGCCCTAGCTGTCTGAATGACGGCGCGCACTGATACGAACAGAGAGAAAATAGGACCAAGTGATAACGACGTGTGACTTTTTCCACTACAACGTTTTTGGGATGCAAAAATATCGCTCTTTTGAACACATAATGTTTTGGGAAGAGAAACGTTTTATTTCGCTGGCTCTAGCAAACCTGCCGGACTACTTTCGGCTTGACCAAAACTGGACGAGAACTCTGCTCACAGGATGCTGCCAGGGGTAAGTCAGTGTGATTGCATGACACTGGTGATGGGGATGCCATACAGATTCATGTCAAAAATACCGAACTATCCCTTTAAAGCTGCCAAACCGATGTAGCGACTGGGCTCAACTCCTGCAGAGCTAAAGAGCTGACGAAACCCTGTGCTAACACGGAAGCCAGCATTCTTCTTCTTCCCTACTCTAGGGGCTATATGTAGAGCTTTCCCTCCAGGTTTGGTGGAGAACAGTTCAGTAGACATCAGTGGCTTATAGTCCGGTGCGGCTTATATATGTAGGTTCCCAGTTTTTTCAAAGAACTTAGCGGGCGAGCCTTATAGTGAGGTACGCTCTATAGTCTGAAAAATAAAGTAAATCTCTTTTATGAAGAGAGTTGAGAAACTACATTAATGAAATAAATGTAATGAGCAGAGCTGTTTTCTTGCTCTTTCTAAAATAAAGTATAACAGTGAGTCTACCTTTTACTGATTAGTGAGTAAAGGATTGAATCTTAGACCAAAGTATGTATCGGACATCACTATTGATCAGATTCTGATACCAACTTAGTGTCCATATTATGGATGATGTGTGCAATGTTAATGCTACATAATGCTAGCTTGTGAGTCAAAAAGAAAGAAGGGTTGAGGTTATTTTTTAAAAAAAGGTCTGAAGGTACTGTAACTATGATAGCTGCCACTTCCTTTTGCAATTTATCGGTTTAACAAACAAAACAGCTTCTGGATCACGAAGAAACTTCTAAACTTGGGTTTACCTCTCTAAAGAGACAGGCTTTTTGGGTCTTTGATTCTTTAATTATACTGCAACTCCCAGCATGAAATCCCCATCAGTTTTGTTTCAAAGAGGCTTATCAGCAGAAGGCGGGATGAAAGTTTCCCCAGGTGACTCAATGACAGCGAAGATAGACATCTTTGAGTCAGCAGGCTAAATTTATGAGAGGATGCTGCAGAGGGAGGTTGTTGTAGAGGACCGGCAGAGGAGAAACCTGAGCAGGATTGTTCCATGTCATCATTTCATGTGATTTATAATCCTCACAAAAGACCAGTTGCTTTTTTTAATGTTCAAATTGGCGTGGGAAGGTGAGACACTGGAGAAAGAAATAAAATGCTGCTTATGCTTTTACTCAATACTTTTTGTCTTTATAAAGAAAAAAAACTCTAGCCAAGTCATTTTCACATGATCAGTTGTGTTAATCACCGTTCGTAATCAAATTTAATCCCGAGCCTTGCCTCGCAGCAGGACAGACTTCCTTTAAACTCTTTCCCACACTCTGACATCGACGAGCCGCTGATGACTCCCTCTCCCACACAGCCGCCCTATTGTGTCTACAACAGTTAAATTATAACGTTCAGGGGTCGTCAACAAGCATGCTGCAGAGGCATTTACAGCAGAGACGAAGAGCCCAATTACTAAAAAGGGTTTCACATTTCTATCCACAACAGCTCATAGAACAACTGAACAGAAAAAGAGTTTTTTGTGCAAGAAATATCAGAAAATATTTAAGAGAAACAGAGCCGTCTGTAGTATTTCTCGAGATTCACTTTCGAGCAACCAATAGAAATCTAGTCTTTGACAGACTATACCATATTTTCAGTCGATATTAAAATTGGGAAAAAAATACACAACAGATCTAATACTCTTTATTGTACAAACAGAAAGTAAAATTGGAAGCAAGGTGTAAAAACACTGCAGCGGCAGGGTGTTACTAATCCAAGGGAGCAGACCAACTGAAGGTGTGATCACATCTATGACTGGAGGCGACTAAGGTAGGAAGTCAACGCTGCATATCTTAGGGAAGAGTTGATGGTCGTTATTCTGCGAGGGGCAATAGGACTATTTCCTGATACCATATAATTCAATGATCGTCTCCCCCTAGTGGTCTGGGGCACCTTTATAAGGCGAAGCCAGTTTGAAGCTTTTCTCAACATGCAGTTGTTTTTGCAACTTGCAGCTTTTATCCCTTTCATTTGTGTGTTTCTCTTATTTTTGTGTTTGCTCATCTACATTTTAAGTTTTGTATCGGTGTGTGCACCTTTTGGTCAATTTTAGTTCTTTTATTTTCCACACAGATTTTGTAAACATAGAAATAAATATTAATACTTTAAAAAATATATGATTAAATCCAGTAGTCGTGTCGCCTTCGGTGATAAATCTGAATTAAATAATTTCTGCAGTGTTCTAAAGAAGCCTTTTCAGTTATTCTTTAATTTTTAAGAACAGTCATTTCTTTCTTTGACTTCAGTGATTTGCGTTCCCAGAAAATCGATCGCCATAAAGTCTGCAAGTTCTTTTAAGTTGTGCTGCTCTCACAAAAAAAAAAAACAACACAAAATATGGTGATAAAGTCCATTTAACGGATTCCTATAAACAAATATAGGAATATGGAGCTAGTTTATCAGTTATCAGTAAAAAAATATAAATCCTCCCTGTTTGTTGTTACTGTTCTCTGTTCATTGATGTGAAAAAATCTTTGGTAATTTGTAAACATTTGGCTCTATTTAATGCCTGGTTCAAAAAGCAGGTTTTAAAATTATTGGCAGATTTTTAAACCTGAGGAACCTCCATATGGTGATCAAAAATATCGTAGATTTTTTAGAACCCGCGGCTCTTTAGCGCCCCCCTTGCTTTTTCAAAACTTTATGAAAATGTAAAAAGGATGGATTTTTTTTTGTTTTAATATGGTGTACAGGAGGTCAAACAAACATTCATTCATTACGTTTTCCAATGCTGCAAAAATTTGCGTGGTGCCAGGCAGGTGGCTGTTGGAAACAAAGCGTTGGATGGATCCCAAAGGCCATATAAAACTTATACAAGACTTTTACATCTTTGCAGCTCCAAACATGTTTGTTTTTTGCTTTTTTTGGTCCACTATGGCTGTTCTTGTTTTGCCTGCATGCGATGGTGGCTGGTTTTTTTACTCTTCAAGACGCGGCAGGGTTTGTGCAATCACGTGACTCCATCCATCCAGTCAGAAGCATAAACAAAGAGAATGGCAGATGAGCCCAGAGAAAAGGCGTGCAGAGATGAAGCTGAGCAAGCGTTATAGGAGTTGAGCGCCCAGCCAACTGGTTTTGAGTGAGGGTGTGCAGGTTTTAACAATGCACATTGTTCTGAAGCACCAAGAGTTCTTTTGCACCAAAATTACAGCATAGATTTTGAGCAAATGAACATGAAATGCAAAGTTTGCCTGAAAATTATTGGCACCACCAAAAGTAACACATCCAGCCTCCACCACCTACAGCACAGCCATCATGTTGAGTTTAAAGATGTGCAAAAAGCTCTATTACCTATGCGCAAAAACGTTTGCAAGAGGAAACTTTATTCTCCTGTTCAGTAAGACATTGTTGAATGTTCTTGAATAGGTATAAGAGTATAATATTTAATGGAAATTATTATGTAATGTTATTTATTTGATAACTAAATGAAATATAGGTCTGTTACATTTGCTGCACAGGCTATTATTTTCAGACAGAGGGGCTGGAGCATTTATCGTGCATTTATCGTTATCGAGGTCAAACTGCCAAATTTATTATGATATTTATTTGAGGTCACATCGCCCAGCCCTACTAGCCGGTATAAAATGGAATTTAAAAAAATAAAAAAAATAGGACAAAATGTGATGTAATCTGATACTTCATGAAAATACAGTTTCTAAAAAGCTACGATGTAGACTTATTTCTAGTTAAATGATATAATAAAAGGATTTCCATATTCAAAGTGAGGCATTTATTAGTAGATTATACGGCGATCACAGAGCAGGGGCTTTGAACCTTGTGCCCATCAGGAGTCTCTCTAGGATCTTCCTGACGTGGGATTTTAGACGAACAGATCTGTGGTCATTAAAAACAGACAGCTGAGTTTTCTTTGGTACCGACACAAGGCAGGCGATCCTCCACAACACTTTAACCACCTCCTGGGTAAAGCTGAGGTTAAAAAGGTCCCACAGAACTCCACATCACTGCTCTACACAGGCCTTTAAGTCTAAAGGGGTTAGACCATTGTGGCCTGCAGCCGTACGTCCAAAAACCAATATCTAACCATACCATACATTTCCATACATTACCCCTCTGACCTCACCACTGACATAGCTCCTCTGCTTCAGTTAAACACTCCACAATGCTGCCTCACTGTTACATGACCAAAGGAATAACATGGCCAACCCCTACCCATCCTGAAAAACAAACAATAGGATGGAAATAAAAATAAAAATTGTTCAAACTGGCTTTTAAGACCAATACCAATATGCTAAAAAAATAATTATATAACCCAATACTGATGTTAATGCGCATCCTACTTAATTTCCAAAATTAAATCAGTGTTCTTAATAAGATCTAACATTGTATTTTCTAATAAAACATTAAAATCACAAGATAAACACAAACACATCATTGTGTTATTAAAACAATAACACAAAACTCCCTTTTGACTTAATGGCTGAAATAAATAAATCATTGAACTTTTAAACTGGTGAAATAATTAAACAACTGCTACACTTTTGGACGTGTTATGCTGGGAAGAAAAAAAAGAATTACACACACATTTAAAATAAAAAAAACCTTTATGTAAAAATGATTATTCCCAAACAATTGAAAAATACAACTTAAAGAAAACTAAGAAGAGGACTTCTATACGCTTCAGTAATAAATAAAGCAGTTCAGAGTAAAGAAACTGATATTGGTAAAAGATAAAAAAAAAAAACAAAGGTAGCAATTTTAGCAAACACCTGGGTCATTAATAAACCCTCATCTTACTTAGTTTTATACTATAAAGAAAGCTACAGGCTAAAAGAGGCAACATTTATGTTACCATTTTAATTAAATCTAAATTCAAAGGTAGACAAGGACGGCTGAAAACATCCGAGTCAGTCTGCTCAGAGCTTCGCCTTCACAGCCTATAAGAAACTGAATAATGAACAGAGAGAACTTATGGATTAACGTCTGAGCGAGTAAATGATAGTGTAATTGTTCACAGTGCTTTGGTGACCTCCAGTGGTAGTTAGTGCTAAAACATTAAAACCAAGAGGCTTTCTATCAAAGATACAACCAAAATACATATGATGCATTAAAATCTACCTGGAAATCTTTATAGCAGTCAACAGACACGGAAGAAAACCAAGATGGCAGGTATTATAGAATTCAGTTTTTGTTTAATCTGTTTGTTGAAGGGATGTTGATTAAAAATTAAAGATATATTTCATTTTAAATCCCTCTTCAGGGTCAGTTTAAAACATATTCAAGAGTGCAACTCAGCCTTTTTATTAATATTTAATGAGGCCACAGCAGCATGCAGGACTAGAAATTAATAAACAGTTTGATAAATAAATTGCATAACACAATAAATACCTTTACTGAATCATGTCGTTAAAGACAACAAACACTTTAGTAAATACCTGACAAATAAATTAGATATATATTATTACTGTCTTTCATTACAATATTTAGACGTTAGGATTTATCTCTATTCTCCTTATGTCTATTGGAGTTGGACTGGTTAGAAACCAGTCACTTAAAGGATTTTAAGGCCAGAAACGTCAAAGCTACAGATCTGTAATCATTTTACACCATGATGGTGCATTTTCAAAGGTGCAGTAAAACTTTATCAGCCATAGGGAGCTGAAGCAGCAAACAAAGGCTAGTTTACAGCACCTTGGGGACGAGAATGACAGTGGAATGCTTGAAGCCATAGTGAGCCTCCTGCAGCTTTGTGAAGATCTGAGTTAAGATGGGGGCCAGTGTTTTAACTGCCTGCTTTCATGTAGAGGAGGAAACTATCAGGCTTCTGGTTATTTCCTGGTTCTCTGACTCAAAGGAGCCTACTTACATCTTCCTCAGGCTGCAGGCAGTCCCTTTATGCTGGTGAATGAGTATAAATGGCTGTTTTTTTTTTTTTTTTTTTCGGGGGGGTGTTTAACGGCACTAGTGGCTCATTTTTTTGAAAAGTAGGCCGACAGGAAAGGGTTCAGTGACATGCGGCAAAGGACCACAGGCCAAATTCGAACCCGGGTTGGCCACGTCGAGGACTCCGTACATGGGTGGTGTGCCCTAACCACTGCTGCACATCTAAATGGCTGTTTTCGACTCCAATCATGAAATCAATAAATTTAGACTCAACTTGAATAAATATGAGGAGATTTGAAACTTGACTCGGACTTTCACATCATTAACTTGTGACTTCCCTTGGATTTGATTCTTTTGACTTGACAAGACTTGCTGCTTTCCTCAAAACCTGAACACAAAAAAGGACGTCAACAGAGCGCTCTGTGTCTCTTATTGTGTGTATGTGTGCATCTGTGTGTTTTTTTTCTGTCAGCACAACATCTGATCAAATTAGATCCACGCTGTTTTGATCCAACAGCATCCATCAAATCAAACTGCAGGACAACCAGTGAAGATGAAGTGTCTAACAACGTGCCAGTTCGGGAAAAAATGATCAAGTACTTCAATCTCCTGCTGTTAGCTCATGGAGCACGGTCCGCAAACTTTCCCCCGCTGTGGCTCACTCGTTGCCGGGGGTTCTTACACTGATCTCTTGCTGTTCCTGACTAAGCTCCATGGGGGATCAGGCGTTGGACAGAATGCACTAGAACAGGTACGGTCCCACCAAATCTGCCCCGTTCTGGCTCACTCTCTGCCGGTGGTTTGGAGGAAGACAGCGGTAGATCTGAGTCAGACACCTGGCTGCGTTTAGCCCCGAAGGCTAACCGGGGAGACGGGAAGCCGGGCAGAGTGCAGCAGAGAGGGGGAGGGGTCAACACTGAAGGCTACATGACGAGGACGAATACTAATCCTAAAAATAATTTTTTTTTTTTTAAACCCACCTATAAAGAGCATTCCCTCCTTCATCCCATCTAATCATTATGTCTTCTATTTATATTGAAAATAATGTTTCCACTGCACTCTTTATCTTGTTTATTCATTACCCATTTTTTATGTTCACTTACTGTGTTTTTAATATAATCTTATAGAAAATAGTTAAAAAATGCTAAATACAATGGATAAATTTTTATTATGATTTATAAATGTTTAGCCCTTTTTTCAGCAATTTCCTTGGCATACATGATCAGTGTAAATATAGTATTACTATACTAAATTATTACTATGACTCATCAGTCTAAACTTTGAACTTGACTGCACTTGGGGTCAATGACTCCTCACGCAGACAAAGTGTAAAAGGTTTATTGTTGCACGTGTTAAAGATCTTGGTCTGAACTCTGGACAAACATCTCCTTACAAAAATCAAAGCAAGAGCAAAGTTTTAGTCAACTCATTAATGTGATTTGCTTAATCTTCATAAACTCTTATTTGTTCCATCTAACCGGGCCGGTAGCATCTGCTTTGCCTCCATGGCATGACGTCTTATTCATTCCATTTATAGATTGATTTCCATTTCTTTTTAAGTATCCTATATATAAAAAAAAAGTCTGTTTACTGTCTGCTCAAAGAAAGCAGCTGCTCAAGTAAAAAGAGTAGCAAATTATTTCTAAACCGGTTCTCCAATATTGTGTTTTTCAAAATGTACTTCCAACAAGCTGATCTCGTTATAAAGAACTGTAAATAATGGATTCACTTTCTGATTCAAGAGAAAATAGGCAGATCGATGCCACAAAACAAACTCTGTTAAAAATAAACAGTCGCAATGGTGTGCTGAAAAAATTCCTGAACTCAGAAGTAAAGTTGGGTGGCGTGTGATTGAAGAGAAACATAAGAAGCTCACCCTGAAAGCTGGATTAGCTCCAAACTCCAGCAGACATTTGACAGCCGACGTGCACAGGTTGGATGCAGCGATGTGAAGAGCTGTGCCAAAGTCAAAGTCACTGCAGGTGGCATCAACCTCTGCAGGAAAAAAAAGGCAGAGGAAACCTAATTTAATTTCAGGCATAAACTACAGAGAGCTCTGTGTTTTCAATTACATTGCATAAGTGTTTTTACCTCTTGAAGCTTTTTACAATGTGTCGCATTACGGACATTAATAAAACCTGTTCAAACTTTTTCTCTGATGGATCAACTAAAGGGTTAGGAAAAAGATATGTGATTTGATTTTTACAAAAAGAAATGTGAAACATGGGGATGTATTTATGATCAGAAGCCTCTAGGCTGATATTCCTGAAAAGAAAATGGGAGCAGCAAAGTCTTTACAGATTTCCTCAGCTTCTTCTAATGCATCAGCAAGTTTTTTTGCCCTCTTACGTTAGTTTTTGGCTTTTGCGAAAAAGGGTTGATGCGCAAAATCCTGATCTGACGCAGAGAACTTTTTCTCACATGACTGATCTGATCTTTCAGCCGTCACCGTCTTCCTGGATGTTCCTATAATGCTCCTAGACATGACTGGAAACAGCATGGCCATTACTAACTGACTTGTTAATGTCAGCAAACTTAACTGATTGCAACACATTAATTAAAACTGTCCTCCATTACTGATCTGTGGTCAGATTATAGTCTATACTTCCTGTTCACTACATCAGCTTGACGACGTAATATGGACGACGACGTACCATGCCTTTGCAGTCCTTAACTAATTTGCTTCAAACCAAATGGAAACGCAACAAATTTGCATTTCCTTTTTTTCTAAAAGTTTGTTTAAAATTTGAATTTCATTTGAATGGAAACAAGGCTACCAACAGGTTTCCTCCTTAAACCTCTCCCTCTCTTCTTCCCCTTTTTCCTTGAAGGATCAAGGTCCACACGACTCCACTCCGTACAGAACCTGTTGGTGTTCCATTGTCTCCTGAATTCACACACACTTTCTATTTCCATTTAGATCAGGGATGCTCAATCCAGTCCTCAAGAGCTACCATCCTGTAACTTTTAGATGCATCTCTTCTCTCTTTTTTTTTTTTTTTTACAGTGTCCTGTCTGGCAATGTGGCAATAAGAATAATTCTCTTGATGCCAAAAAGAGCCCAACAGATTTTACTTTCACAAGTGTAGCAGTATGGCAATTGCCATACTGCTACACTTGTTTCATGCATATAAATTGCTTTATTACAATTATGCAGGGAGTTTTACAGTTTATACGGACACTGCAATGTAAATAGAACAGAAGAGGAAAACAGAAGAAGAAAAAGAAAAAAAAAAAGATGAAAGAAAGAGGAGATAGAACGGAGACATGACAAAACATTTTCAGTCTGCTTCATCACCTGTAACGAGATGCAAAAAGAACAGCACAACCGAAAGACATGGTACGAGATATACAATAAAGCAACACCTTAAAACCATTGTTGAAGTAGTATTATTTAGTCTGACATGTACTCTGTGAAGATACATCTGTGAAGATGCATCTCTTCTCTAACACACCCGAATCTAAAGGCTCAATCCCCTCATTTAGCTCAGTAGGGGTATCCTAACAAGCCACTCATTTGATTCAGGTGTGTTAAAAATAGGGTGCATCAAAAAGTTGCAGGACTGTAGCTGTTGAGGACTGGATTTGAGCACCCCTGATTTAAATTATTCCATTTGCCCTTTCATGGTGTTTTAGGGTAAACGTGTGTACGTCTACCGTGAGGCCAAGCGTGTCGCGGCCCGGGCGGTTGCAGAGGCAAAATCTCGGGCCTGGGAGGAGTTCGGAGAGGCCATGGAAAAAGACTATCGGTTGGCCTCAAAGCGATTCTGGCAAACCGTCCGGCGCCTCCGGAGGGGAAAGCAGTGCTTCGCTAACACTGTTTTCAGTGGGAGTGGGGAGCTGCTGACCTTGAAGGAGGATATTGTCGGGCGGTGGAAGGAATACTTTGAGGATCTTCTCAACCCGACAGACACGCCTTCCATGGGGGAAGAAGAGACAGGGTGCTTGGGGCTGGGTTCGTTCATCACCCAGGCTGAAGTCACCGAGGTGGTCAAAAAACTCCACAGTGGCAAGGCTTCGGGGGTGGACGAGATCCGTCCTGAGTATCTTAAAGCTCTGGATGTTGTTGGGCTGTCATGGTTGACACGTCTATTCAGCATCGCGTGGAGGTCGGGAACAGTCCCCCTGGATTGGCAGACTGGGGTGGTGGTTCCCCTCCATAAGAAGGGGGACCGGAGGGTGTGTTCCAACTATCGGGGAATCACACTTCTCAGCCTCCCCGGAAAGGCCTATGCCAGGGTGCTGGAGAGGAGAGTCCGGCTGATTGTCGAACCTCGGCTGCAGGAGGAGCAGTGTGGTTTTCGTCCTGGCCGTGGAACAGTGGACCAGCTCTACACCCTCTGCAGGGTGCTTGAGGGTTCTTGGGAGTTTGCCCAACCAGTCCACATGTGTTTTGTGGACTTGGAGAAGGCATTCGACCGTGTCCCTCGTGCTGCCCTGTGGGGGGTGCTCCAGGAGTATGGAGTCGGGGGCCCTTTATTAGGGGCCATCCGTTCTCTGTACAATCGGAGCAGGAGTCTGGTTCGCATTGCCGGCATTAAGTCGGACCTGTTCCCGGTGCATGTTGGACTCCGACAGGGCTGCCCTCTGTCACCGGTCCTGTTCATAACTTTTATGGACAGGATTTCTAGGCGCAGCCAAGGACCGGAGGGGGTCTGGTTCGGGGACCAGCGGATCTCATCCCTGCTTTTTGCGGAGGATGTAGCTGTGCTGGCTCCCTCCTGCTAAGACCTACAGCGTGCGCTGGGGCGGTTCGCAGCCGAGTGTGAAGCGGCCGGGATGAGAATCAGCTCCTCCAAGTCCAAGGCCATGGTTCTCGACCGGAAAAAGGTTGCTTGTCCCCTTCAGGTTGGAGGAGAGTCCCTGCCTCAAGTGGAGGAGTTCAAGTATCTTGGGGTCCTGTTCACGAGTGAGGGAAGAATGGAGCGGGAGATCGATAGACGGATCGGTGCAGCTGCTGCAATAATGCGGACGCTGCACCGGTCTGTCGTGGTGAAGAGAGAGCTGAGCGAAAAGGCAAAGCTCTCAATTTACCGTTCGGTCTACGTTCCTACCCTCACCTATGGCCATGAAATTTGGATCATGACCGAAAGAACGAGATCCCGGATACAAGCGGCTGAAATTAGCTTCCTCCGCAGGGTGGCTGGGCTCTCCCTTAGAGATAGGGTGAGGAGCTCGGTCATTCGGGAGAGGCTCAGTGTAGAGCCGGTTCTCCTCCACATCGAGAGGAGTCAGTTGAGGTGGCTCGGACATCTTCTTCGGATGCCCCCTGGACGCCTCCCTCGGGAGGTGTTCCAGGCACGTCCCACTGGGAGGAGGCCCAGGGGAAGGCCCAGGACACGCTGGAGAGACTACGTCTCTCGGCTGGCCTGGGAGCACCTAGGGCTTCCCCCAGCAGAGCTGGAGGAGGTGTCTGCGGAGAGGGAAGTCTGGGAGTCTCTGCTTAGTCTGCTGCCCCCGCGACCCGGTTCCGGATAAAGCAGGAGACGACGAGTACGAGTACGAGTGTGTACGTCTGTGATCGGTTGATTTAAGTTGTGATGAACTGCGCCAAGTTTGTGTGTAGAGTAACTCAGAAAGCTGAAGTTATTTTCCTTTAACCGTGAGGCATCTTTAATCATTATAAAGAGTAAATGGATTCATTAAAATGTCATTGAAAAGCAACATACGTTAACCCTAATTTATGGAACGGTGCATGAATTTTTATACATTGCCTGAATCAGTAATCAGTGCCAGTGGCAAATGCTTTGTGAATAAGTGATTTAAGTTGTGTTGTAATCATTTTAGTGCAACAGTTTCGGGGGGGAGACGGGATTAAAAACAATATTTATATTATACTTTTATCCCAATTTTTAATCTAGGGTGGAATAACTAGTAGCTTTTTGCATGTGTTATACATTAGCTGTGGGAAAACAGAGCAGGTTTCCTCTCTGTTCTTCCTGCATGCAGGGCTTTCAGGAAGACGCAGTGGCCTGTGCCTGTGAGACAGCGCTCAGGGAGAGATTAACAGAAGCTTTTACTGCTGTGTGGCAGCAGCAAAAGTAGAAGTGAAGTTTCTAAACTCACCAAAAACACAGAAAAATCACTACATTTGTTTCAAATTCAAAAAACAAAAAAAACAAAAAACCGTCTTTAGAGGATTTTTAAGTCCCCAACAATTGCAACAAAGTCACTAAGTTAGCATCACTGCATCACCTTCACAAGGTAACCTAAAAAATAAAGACCAAGGAAAATGTCTAAAGTATTTAAACCTTGTTTTTTCATTATTGATAGCAGTGCAGTGCACTGCAGCCATCAATGATGGCTTTTTAGACAGCCAGACAGACAGCAGCTGGTGTTGCTTTTTCCAAACAGAAAAATCTATTTCATGAGATTTCATTCATTTCAAACTCTTATTATGATTAGAATAAGTGTGCAAATAGAAAGTATGATACATCATGTTTTTACATTATTTTAACTTTTTTTCCTAATGCTGGGAGCTTTTATTTTGGCGTGACGTTGTGCCAAAATCAACCAATATAGGGGAAACCCTGTGGTTATTCTCTTTTCTTCCTTCTTTTAGTTCTCCCCATCCCACTGCCAGCATGCAGCTGATTACGCTCATGGCCAACCAGTGAATGGCAGTCTGTCCTGTAACATAGTTGCTCTGTTCAAACAAAAAAAGTGGGGGTGGTAAAAACAAAAAAAAAAACAAAAAAAACTACACATTTACCAAACAATGGAGCTGGTAAAAAAGAGGCATATCTCATCAAAAGTTCTGTCCAGCTTCCCCTGCTGATGAAAAGCATTCCCACAGCATGATGCCATCTCTACCATGTTTCACAGATGATAGATTTTTTTCACTGATTGTGGAACAGTAATTTTACTCACACACGGCAGGTATAAATGTAGGCTAAAAACTTGCATTTTGCTCCAACTTGAAAAAGGAACCTTTGTACACTGTTTTGCTTTTCCTCCTGCATGGCTTGTAGCAAATGTCAGATAATTGGTTTTTCAATCAAACCAGAAAAAAAAAAAAAACTTAAGTAAACAGAAAAAGCTTTTCCATTAAATACAACAGCACCACCATCTGCTGCCTCCGTTCATCCGTGGAAGCAGCTAATAAACGTACCACCCAGAATGTTTACCACAGCAAGAAGATAAACTCACTGCTACGGTTTTAATCCCAGTGGCAGTTGGTGCTTAAAATAGAAACGCCTGACCTGCACCGACTGTTGCCACGGCCTTCCCCTCTATTGCATGGCAGCCTCTCTCTCCTCTTACCTCCAGGCTGAGACGCCTGTAGCACCACACCGAGGAGCTGGGGCACGTCGAAGTAGGCAGCATAATGCAGCGCCCTCATGTTGGTCCATCGTGAGCGAAGGTTGGGGTCGGCACCCAAGGCTAGCAGCTGCCGTGCAAAACCGGCTGCAATTTCTGCATCGCCTGAGGAGAGACCATTTATACACTTTTTCAGTTTTAAAACAATATGTTGATGGAAAAGAGTACTTTTAAGCTCTAGAGTTTTTTTCCACCAGCCAGATTAATCAAAAATCATGTTTAAACAGCTGAAAGGAAGTACTAACCGATTCCAGGGGCCCCGGCCTTACAGCAGTAGTGCAGAAGGCTCATATCTGTCAAACCATCTCGATCATTCACATCGCAACCTCTCTTCAGGATCTGTGCAAAGACACAATGAGTCACAGAGAGGCCTTCTCACTGTAAAATAACAGTGGAACTCAGGCTGAACTGAAGAATAGTGGGACCATTTTTTTATATTTAAGCAACAGGAGCATAAAAAAAATAGATATTTGCTTCTCCAGAGACAGAAAAAAAGAAAGTACACAGGAAAAACTGTTTAATTAAATCCCCAACAGGAAAACAAGTTATAGAAAATGTTTGTTGGTGACTGAGTGAGAAATCCACAGAGGAACCAGAAACATCACTCACCTCAGAAAGCTTATTACTGATGATGAGTCCTCACTCTCTAAAGACAACTGGAATATTTTATTAAATCAAATCAAGTGAAAACTGAGACCTGTTTCCTAAAGGGCAATTTTTACTGATAATATACTAATTTCTTTAATATCGGGACCATTACATATATTAATATAAGATCAAATCTGATTGGCTTATTTGAATGATTTTAGTGCCTTCAATAAAACTGAAAACTATTGTCACTGCTGCAAAAATTCATGGTTCAACACAAAAAAAAATATATGTTTCCTTTAACATTTTAAATGCATTTTTTTAAATACAAACTTTTAGCAAAAATCAGGAAAACCACCTGCTAAATAACACAGTTGCTAAGTAAACATACTTATGAATAACATCCTCATTAGCACTTCTGCTCTTAAAATATTACACAAAACAACATACTTAGCTAGTATCTTTCAATAATCAGGTTATCTGCTCAGGTACCCTGAGGTTGGCTGCCTGAGCAGATAGCTGCTTCAGTTAGATGTACCTCATAAACATAGAAAGGACGGGTTTCTGTTAGCTTCTATTCAATGTCTAGAAATAACAAACATTCAAGTAAGAGAAGGAAATGCGTTGTAGCCCTCTGTCAGCCAGCTGGCCGGCAGTGCACAGCTATTTTTGGTGTATTACAACCAGAAAGAAACCCAGTCACTTCAGTATTTCGTGAAGCTGAACTAAAGATGAGGACTATTACAGAATTTCCATGCATTTATCATCCTAACAGTTAAAGTGATGATAAAAAATTTTTTTTTAAGTATTTTAGTTTATTAAACTACCACTGCATTTGTTTAAAGCCCAGAGACACAAAAACTGGTCTAAATGGAAGTGATCCATGATCAAATGGCTTATTTCACACACCACTCCCTTTAAATAGTTTTGTTGCATGTATAAACAGGATGCAATAATTGCATTCAACAGAACCTCGTGGAATCAACAATAAAACCAGTGTTTAAACCAGCAGCTAAGCCTATCTCTATTTCTTTTACATTTTTATATTTTCTTGATAAGTCTAAAGTTTGGTTTCTGTAGTTTAACCATCTTCCTCCCTGCAACGTTAGAATACACAGAAAGTCAAAGGCACCACAGGGAGGATTAAGCATTCACTGCAAGGGATAACTGAAGTGCTTTCAAAGCAGATAACACTGAACAGGCTTTCCAGCAAAACCAGTTTAAAGGACCAGAAGGCAGATCGCTCCGGCCGTAGGATCTGAGTTTAACCTCAATCTTTTTAAGAGTTTTGTTTAGATGTTGGTTGTAACAGCAGCTAAAGCAGTAACAGAGAAAGACAGCGTTAAAAAAAAAAAACAAAAAAAACAACAACCGTCACCTCAATTCCAATGACGTCAATGTTTTTCTGGACCTGTGGAACCCACTGCCTGAGGACAGCAAACAGCTCAGGGATGGTGGTGTTTGGATCCTGAAGAATTTCTCTACACTGTGGCTCAGAAGGATCAAAGAAGGAAAACTCTGGTAGATAGAGAGAAAACAGAAATGAGATTATCAGCAGTTTTAACTAAACCATAAACCATAAAACAAATAATCTCCAGATGTCCCAAAACCAGAATATCTGACATCTAAACTGATTAAAGGAGTCTAAGTCTAAGATGGTTGAATAAGTGTGAACAGCCTTCAGTTACAACTGATCTAAACTCAACTTCAGTTGAGTAAAAAAGAAAAAAACTTTATTAATCCAAAAAAAGAACTAGAAAATGGCTTTCCAGCTTAGATTTACTGACAATTAAAGGGCTTCAGCTAAGGGAAAAGCTTGCACAGAGGTTACAACAGAGCAAAGAGATTTCTAAAAAGTTATGAGACAGGAGAAGGATGCACAAACCTAATCGCAATATTTCAATAATATGCTACAATAAATGCAATATTTCACAGAAACATTTTCTTCCAATGAAAAACATTCTGGCCTGAATTTAATCTCAAAGTTCATGGGCAATGTTGTCATTATCAGATGAAACCGATCTTAAAACAAAAAGGTATGTTCAAAAGCACAGCAATCCCCCTTTCTAACATGCTGTAGAAGCACGGTGCTCTGGGGTTACTTTTCCTCAGATGAAACCGGAGTTTTTGTCAAGATGGATGAAATGATGGCATCTAACAGAAAGATCCAGATGTGTTTTATTTTTCTGCATCATACAGAGTCAAAGCAAACATTAAAATTAACAGAAAACAGCAAGGGACTTCCGTTAAAGAAAGGAAATTAGAAAGGAAATATGGATTTGTTTGAAAAAACAATCTGACAGATTCAGAGAAAATTGGCAGGTGAAGCTGAGAGCTATAATGGATGATGCTTAAAGACTCTGATCACAAGGAGGAAATGCTCAAACTGATGATGCTTCAACAAAACATTAACCTATAAGTTTTCACATCTATTCAAACTTTCTTTTCTCCTTTACAAGAAATATTCAAATTTTTACAAAAAAAAAGAGGATAAAAGAAACAAATGCTTTTGAATTCTGACTTTAATCTCAGAATTCAACTTAAAAATAAAGTATAGTTATTTAGGCCTCTATCACCAAAGCTCAAGATTATCACTTTGACAAAGTTGGAATATAGATTCAAGTAGAATCTGAAGAATAAAGTCATAAATCTGAGATTAATGTCAGAATTACTAGCCATTGTGTTTTATTGTGTTAGGTTTATTATTTATACATCAGGTGCACTGTTAATTTGTTTGTCAGATTAGACAGAGCAGAAGGCCTTCCTTCACATTGTGGATGTCGCGGTGTGTACGGAGGTCATCTAATCAAGACAGCCTTCGTGTCTCTAAGAGTACACAGAATATGGGCACATCTTGGAGCCGGTCTGATAGGAGAGCTGCTGTATCTGTAACCCTGAGACAGAGAGGCAACCTGCATGGAGTTCAAGACATGGATGGCGTGTCAGTTTCTGATACGGACAGCTAAGCATCCACATGATGCAACACATAGACTCACAAGGTATAAGAAGCAGGGGATGACCTTCATCGGGGCTCAAACTTTGCCGGACGCTTGCGGACGTGATTTTTGAGACCACAGCTGTGCATAGCTCTAAGCATTTTTCTCTGTCCTGTAACGACCTGATCTAGAATAAACTCTGTTACTTTTTTACTCCTGTTTTTATAGTCCTTTTTTATATGGTATTAATGAGTTTGAGTTAAGAGTGGTAAATAACTTGCTCCCAGGAAAAGAACCGTGTGAGGAGGCCCCGGGGCGTTACAGCCTTTACTTTGAAGGGGACAAATCCTTCTCACTTTAACAAATTGGTGTTTCCGCCCGTGACCTGGAAGCAGGACAACAGAGCCACCGACGGAAAAAGCTCCACAGCCTGCGGCCGAAACAACTGATAAGGTGAGGAGATTCCTTATTACAAAATATCTCCAGTGTTTTTAATGTTAAAACACTTTGGCTGTGTTGTGATTTTCTGAAGTGAGCTGAAGCTTTTTATGCAAAAGAGGACAGAGAAATTGCTCAGAGTGATTTTAGTTTTTGTTTTTGCGGTTTTTGTTTTGTTTTATTTGTTGGTTTTTATTTTTTTTACATTGCGAACGTGTACACATAAAAAAAAAAAAAAAAGGAGAGAGAGAGAGAAAGAAAGTCGTGCGTTCTGCTGTGGGTAGAGGTTGAAAGTCCGACTGAAGGAACCCTGCGCAAACACCTTCAAAAATTATACTGCTCACTAGGATAAGTTGGTTGGAAAGCCCAACGGTTTCTGCATGCAGAAAGGGACGGTGATTTTATTCCCGGTCTGCCTGCAGACACGAAAGATGCACTTCTGAAAACAGACGCACAGACAGAAACCAGTCACATAGCCGGCTAGAGTTTGCCAGTATGCCTCCCATAAGGACATGTACGAAAAACCGAGACTGGAAATAAGCGAGCGGGTCAGGTTGAAACGGACCTTTGAGGTGTTTTTCTCTTTCCTTCTCTTCTCTTATAAAAGGAAAAGAGAGAGACGATAAAATGCTATTCCTCATAAAACTAGAAGAGACTGATGCCCGGATTAGGTAACTTGTTTGTCTAATCCTCAAAGTTGGTGGAGTGAACTAGGCGGAACTATATCTAAATCTTTTCTTTTCTCTAAATTTCCTTTTTCCTTTTCACTGACGGACGCATTTTTTGACGGACACACTTCCTTGACGGACACAGTTGTTGACGGACGCGCTTCCTTAGCAGAAGAGCGGCTCACTGAAGGTTGTAGGGAAAAGGTTTAAAGCCCAGAGGGATCTCACGTAAGACGTCGAGGTCTAATTTTATACACTGTGTGAACGGAAGGTGTGAAAGATGGATGCATGTGGACTAGAAATTGAATCCAGAAACACCTCGTTAAAAGCGAGTCTGGATAAAGGGAGAAATATGATCATGGCGAGTTATCCATTGAAGGATGCAGAGCACCACATTAGAAAATTTGATGAATGGGTTGGAAAAAGAAAAAATGAGAGAAGATGGAATGTTTGGGGAATTAGAGGGGCCCCCTCCAAACACTTCACAACGTGGTTTTTATTTGGATACACTAAAAAATAGATTGTCACAAGCTCGTGAAAAAATGGCTGGTGCTGGTGTGTTCGGACGAGACAAACACCAGAAGGAAGAAACAAAACTTTTGGATTTGATTAGACAAACCAAGTTCAATTTTAGTAACTATTTTTCTGACAAGGACCCTGAACAGGAACAGGTGGAGCAAAACGGGGCTCAGGGAGGTGAGCAGGCACTCGACACTTCAGAGGGTAAGAAAAACCTTTAATGAGTACATCTAATATTGCAGAAACAGAGCCTATTATGGACCCCAGTCCACACCAAGGTGTCAGAGAAATATTTCGTAAGGCTGGTGATGCAATGTTTCCATCAAACCCATGTGTGCAGATGCCTGTTATGGAGTTGCGTGAAGGTCAGATAAATTGTGAAATAAGGCCTGCAGAGGAAGAATTGGGACAAGAGGTACGAAAGGAGTTTCAGATGCAAGATTTAATAGAGGAGGCGGTTAATAAAGCATTTCAGCATTTCAGTTCCTATTGTTATGAAAATGTCGATGTTTCTGTGATTTTTGGAGGTGAACCTGGGAAAGGAAAGCTTAAAATATAACAGGTTGATATATTTAAAATTTACGATGTCTTGAAATTAACATGTTAAAGGTAAGAAGATCAATTAGTACATTTTCAGTGCTGTAAACCCCAACCCCGGCCCAACATTGAGCTCCAGAAGGTGGATCACACAGAGCAGCCCTTCACTTAGAGGCAGGAGAGAAAGGAAAAAGAAGACACAGAGAGACTGAGTGCGCACAGGGCCGATCACAGCAGAGGCAGGGCCCAGGAGTCTACAAGCAGTTTTTACCTTAAAGACATCTACCAATTACTACACTAGAATGGTATTGTAATCTGCATTTAGAGTGACTGATTCAGGAGCTTATATTTGAAAATGTTAGACCACACAAGCTAAGGTTGTCAAACTGTAGCAAAGTGAATATAAATTAAACACTGATCACTGAGGATACTCTAAGGTGGATTAAATGGATCTTTACTCAGTCAACTGTTCAAAATAGAGTGGGTTACATCAAATAGATAAATTAGGAAGGTTGATTTCAGTGGATAAAAAGAAGAGAGGCAGACAGCAGTAGATGAAATGGAGGGTGAGTTTGATAGAGAAGGGGAGAAATGGGCAAAGAAGATCGAAGTGCGGGTTCAGTAAGGATTAGAGAAAGGAAGTAAATGCAGCAATACTAGGGAGGCCGGGATCCCACTAGTTGTGTAGTTATGGAGGTAGTTTTTTTGAGAGATTTCCAGCAGCAGTGATAGATATTTTGATTGAGGGCAGCAACTGTCCTTTTATGGTTAATACGGGGGCCAGATACAGCCCCACGAATCTTCACGTGCCCCCTGCCAAAAAACGGCACAGGTAATGGGATTTTCAGGAGACAAACAAAACATACCACTTTTTCAGAACCCCTTAGAGGTGTTCTCATATTTGAAAATTCAAACATGTCATTTTTGGGGGACGCTTAGAATTAAAAATCATTGGGTGTGAAAACTTATTTTGCTGTCTAACGTGAGCAAATAAATCTTAGGTTTCCATAAATGTGCACATATAGTTTAACAAGGATCCTAAAATGAGGCTGACAAGCACTGGCGCAGAGGTCTTAAGACCGGACTGGTAAAAAGATTATGACTTTTTGTTTAAATTGGGAAAAAATCCTCTAAGAAGATAAATCTAAATTGATACTGATGGATTAAACAAACTTTATGTGGCCAATGTCTGTCTGTCTGTCCTAAATGTGGAATGCATGTGAGGTAGAATGTGTGTGGTGAAGTTGGACATGATTAAGAATATTTTTTGATGTGACATTAACATGATTTGCATTTTTACAGGATTGAGAAGGAGCTCTGGGGGCATAACAGAAGGGTAATCGTATCAAACATGTTGCTCAGGGGCCCCACCTATGAGAGGCCCTGACAAGACCAGAGCAGGTTGCTGTTGTAAGGTGTGAGGTAATTTTTGGGTGTGGAGTGCAGCTGAGATACTGTAGATTAATAGATTATAGATTAGAAAAATAATTAAATATATAAGTAATTATCCAGACAGAAGCAGAATGGGTGTTTTTACGTTTTGGGGAACTAAAATCTCAGACAGGGGCATTACATGATTTTAATTTAAAGGTAGTTTTCATTTTCAATCATTAGAATTGCATTAGAGATTGATTAGTTTCATTTTTCTCTCATTAGGATTTTATTAGAGATTGATTAGGGACAGGTTATTCACACTTCGAGCTGGAACTGGACACAGCATATGGCCAAGATACCCGCAGGAGCTCAGTAGATTAGCGGGGTCAACTTTTCTAAACAAGGCTGGAGAGTTAAGAACGATTTCGGTGTGACCTGACCCTGGGTTTTTTCAGCTGTCAGTTTTTATCCATAATTATTTGTATCTGTGTATAATGCCGTTTGGAAACTGCCTAAGCACGAACTGATTAATTTGCATCTCTAATCATTACTAACACTAACACTTTTCACTGTTCATCTGGGCCTTACCTTCTTTGCATGAAGTGTTAAATTCTGCTAACTTTACAAATTTCTGTGAATGAAGTGATTAACTATTGACTAATTGATTAACTTTTTGATAGCTTTTTCCTGGTAACAAACCAGAGGGGTCATTTACTTTTTCCCTGCTTGTAGAGGGTGACAGTGCGGCTGTCAGGGAGCAGGCATGATTATTCAGAGGCCCATTTAAGGAGGATCAGGAGATTGTTTTGCTTAAACATGTTCTTTTTTCTTTTTCAGGCTGTGTTTGTAACAATCCTTAAATGTTAACATTTTTTCTTCCAGGACAGGCTGACAAAAGTCTCATCCTTCATTGTGTTTTGTTCAAGATGTGCATTAACCCTTATTTTCCCAACAGCTGCAGAAGTTCTGGCATGTGAAATGGACAACTTGGCTGAGAGTGACTAGAGCAAGAGAGAGAGGGGGGTTCAGATAGTTGAAAACTTTTTGATAGGAGGATTTGAATAGGTTCGAACTGACTGGACTGACTTGGTTAGTAACTGGACTGGATCGGAACCATGGATTAGGACATGAGAGAGATGGTGTGAGAACGCAGCATGCCAGAGACAGGGTGTAGAGATTGTGGCTGCATGTTTTGTTCCCGGCTGAAGGCCATTCTGGTGAGCTCTGAGTTTGTTTTAATTCCTCTCTGGTTCTGATATGACCTATGAGGTACAGATTGATGTGGTGGTTTGAAGCTCACAGACTTTTGTTGGGGTGGAACATTAAGAGCAGTCATGCTGACAGAGGCATTTAACGAATGACAAGATGAACCAACAACTATTTGGAGAAGTCGGAGGCACCACTGGGGTTTTTGTTGTCTTACATGTTTGTCGTTGTTTGTGTCTGTATGTTTGTTTGTTTTCTGTTTTCTGTTTGTTTACTAACATCTTAGCCTTTATGGAAAAAAAAAAGACGTGGCACGCATGTTAATTTTTTTTTTAATAGTTTTGACTACACTACGGATGGAAATGTTTCAAAATGAACAATGGATCTTTTTTGTTTGGAGAGACATTGGACACTTTCTTTCTTGAGTCACAGGATGGATTAACCTACAAGGGGCACAGAGACACACTTTGCTCCTAAACTTCAGAAGGAGGGATGGTTTGCAGCTGCTGAGATGCGAACATTAAGGAAATGACTGGATGCCCACTGCTTCAGATGAGAAAAGGCCACTGGCAGTGATGGGTTGATGGAGGTCATGGGATCATCGGACAAGACGGATGAAAAAAAAAAAGATAAGTGAACTGACACACCAGATTTCTTATTCACAATGAAAAATTATGGGCAACTTATTTTAAACCGGTTTATTAATACAGATCTATGAATAATATTTTTGCTTTACGGAGATCAACAGGTAGATGTAATATCTTTCTGAACAACGCGGCAGTAGTTTGGAGATTATTAGTATTATTGCTTTATTTATTTATTTTCTTAAAGAGAAATATCAGAAGTGATGGCAACTACATAGAATATAAATTATAGGAGTAACTTTACCGACAGATTTTAAATGGTCTGCTAAATTTTCTTTATATCATCAGGGGGTGGGGTATTCTTACATAGAGGAATAAAAAAGAGGATTTAGAGATGTTTTACTATGTGATAAATTAGACTGGGTTTTTTGATAAATGGTTTGGTCAGTTGTTAATTAGCATAATATTATTAAAGGGACAACAAGTTGAAACTTTAACTTTTGGGAATGGTAAAGTTGCATCAACAGAATGCAATTTAGGGGAAATTATAACATTTTAGGAGCAAATGTTTAAAGCAAATGATGGTTTCTTTCAATATAAGCAATAACGATGAAGACTTATAGTGTTAATGAGCTTATGGCAATTCAATACCAGGCCCAGGGACTAAAACTTCACCATTTATTTTATTTTTATTCTTATTTTATTTGTTTTGATTAATTTGATTTGTTTTTTTTGTTTGTTTTTTACTGCGAGCAGAGTTATAAATAGCATTTGAGGGGCTATATACAATTTGGGGGATGGGTAACCATACTTTTAATGCATGAAGCAATAAGAACACCTGACTTTACTTCACTAGAGCTGCAATTAATACTTTTAATACTTTTTTTTGCCTTTTTTTTTTTTTGCTATTTTGTTTTTTTCCCCCCATTGACCCTAATCCTCTTCCATACTTTTAAGAGCCACTGGAAGCAATAACTAGGTATGTACTTTAAAAACTACTCCTTTGCTTGTTGCTTTGAAGGACTTTTCTCATAATTCATCTAAACTTACCCATTAAACCACCCAGACTTAAAATGTGACCTAAGTTAACACCTCAACATTTCCCCCTTCAATCACGTGCAAAGTTAGATCCTCACCACTGTCACTGGGCATGGGTGCAGAGGCCACCTGGTGGATAACCGCCCGCTGATGGGGAGCATTTCTGGCGTAGCAGCCGAGGACTCTGTCTCCTTCAGCGGGCTCTGAAATATCCTCTTTTGTCATCTCCCCTTCAGGGCCTGCGGCAGAAACAATATTAGAAAGTCTATTCTGAGAACACAAGTAGGTCTTCACTCTCAATAAAAGCAGCTTTAGCACATTGAAGACTTCACCTGATCCACTTGAAGATTTTTAAACTACTAGTGGCCTAAGGTTCAAACACATGGGCTGTAGAAGGAGCACTGGAGACTATAAATCAACTATAAGCACAGATTCACACACAGCCTGACACTTACTGTTTTCCTCTCCATTAGCCCCTTTCTTGATGAACTCCATTAGAAACCTTCAGCTGATCTAAGCTATGAAAAAAACAATCAAAAGACACAGACTGGGTCCAATAGATGAGGAAAACATCCAAAATAACCTCTCAGGTAAACTGACTTCTATCACTTCAGTCTCCAAACTCACTCTTTCCTTTTACACCCGTTTATCCTCTGACTATGAGGTAGATCCAGTTGCTATTTATGGTCTGCAGACTTTAAAGCCACGGTGGTCTCAGCTCTGATCTCCCAGGATGGAGTTTCACTCTCACATGTGAACCACTGACCTCGCTGCCAACTCATCTGATTTACCAGACATAGGATCCACAACGCAGAGAATTTGACTGTAGGGTGACAGTGCAAATAAACACCGTGCAGAAGGGCACGGGATGCAGTTAGGGTTGTCTTTCACAATACCGCCCTTTCTAGTTAGAGGCTGTAAGCAGAATGCTGAAGGGGTTTTTTTTGTTTGTAAATCCACAAGGGAAAAAAAATCAGATTGGCACATTTTCAAACCAGTCTATTGTCAACATTGGGGAATCAATGATAGGTTCTATTAAATTTGTTTCCAGTGTTTAATTGTCAGCCTCCCCATCTATATATACTCAGTGTCTGTCCCTTTGTGATCTTTTACATGTTTTTTTTCCTTGTATACATTTTTTCTATGTCTTGTGTTGCCATCTGCTTGCCTTCTGAACCAAACCCCAAATGTTCTTCTTTTTAAATCAGAGTTAATGCAGCTTTTAGCATGCTGGGTTTGAATTAATAATACTTATCATAATATTAATAAAATATTCAACACCTTTATATCATATTTATTTGACCAGATAAGTTAAATATTAGATCTCCTGATAAAATATTTCTAACACCATTCAGCTATTACAGCTATGACTATTGACCAATATGAATCTGACATGATATTTTAAATACTTTTATTACTCATTTTGTAGAAAGAATGTTATAAAAGGCTTGATCTAGTGTTTTTACTCTGAAAACAACAGTAAACAATAGTCATTATCCATTTCTTATTAACCAACCTTAATTAACAGAGCTTTTCTATCAGCTTTATAGCAGAGATTTTAGATGAAGGTCGATATATTTCAATACGTATTATTTCCAATATCAATATCGGACTGGGAAAACCATTTTTAAAGTAAACTCTCATCTTAAAATGGTATTTCTATAAATGAAATTTACTGAATTATATTAACTCAAACTTGATAAAAAGTATAAACTCTTAGTTGTTGCATTTATAGCCGCAAGATTGCGGTATTTATTTTTTTAATCACTAACCAGAGCAGTAAAGAGAACAAATTGATGTATTCCAATCAGTGTATCTCTAACTTTTGTCAACATAATATCTAGAACAGAGTCACTGGGGTACCAGTTAGCTAAAGCTAGCTGAACTATGACCTCTGACCAGGTTTTGGTGTCCAACAGGGTCTCCATCTGTAGAATAGAAATCTGCCATTTCCTGGTATTAAGGAACAACAGTTTAAAAGGTTATATTTACATGATCCCATTTTGAGGCTTTTAGGATTAAAATGCACATTTACACATAAGTGTGTTCATCTAAAACGGACAACGTGTACTGAACAGCATGATGGGTGAACATCTCTGATGTCTTTAAATCATTCTTAAACACATTAGCTTGCCCCCTTCAGGAATGTGTGAGGTGAACCTAGACTCTGATTTGTAAGTTTTAAGCTAATCATCGCTCCGACACGTCTGAATAACATATTCCACAGGATCTGTACAGGCCTAGTAATAAAGCTTCCATTTCATTCAGGTGATCTAGATCACTGATGCTGGTGTTGAGATGGACACCTGGTATAAATGGACATGCGATAGGACAGGTTTGATGCGGGTGGTTTTTTTTGTAGGGGTGCACTGATTGATCGGACCGCCGATTTATCCACCTAGATTTCCTTAATTTTTTGGTTATAGGCCGATATTTAGGTGTGAAACCAACAATTTCCACAGATCTTATCTACCTCTGCAAAGGTCTGAAAATCAATGCTCTTAACATTTATTTATATTTGAGAGCAGTTATTTTAGACGTTTTTATTGTTTTACAGGAACTGATTAGTGTCCCACAGTAAGATGGTAAGTTTTGTAATCTTATAAAAACTGACAGTGGCGAAAAAATTCAACCTGCCAAGAACAATGATGGTGCACTTCTACTCCTCCATCACTGAATCCGTCCTCACCTCCTCCATCACAATCTGCTAAGCTGATGCCACCAGCAATGACAGAGGCAGACTGCAGCATGTCATCTGCTCTGCAGAGAAGGTGATTGGCTGCAATCTTCCATCTCTCCAGGACCTGTATGCCTCCAGGACTCTGAGGCGTGCAGGGAAGATTATGGCTGATCCCTCGCCTCCCCGGCAACAAACTATTTCAGACACTTCACTCTGGCAGGACCAAAACCAACAAGGCCCAGAGACCCCAGTGACACCTGACACGGCCTCTCCCTCCCCATTCAGGACCTAGGAGCTACACCATCGTGGCATCTCCAGATCTTCTGCGTTAAATTAAGGCAGAGCCTACTGTGTATATAGTATATAGTATAAAGCTATATACTATATATTGCATATAGTATATTGTATGTTTTATATTGGATATAGTTATAGATTCTGTATTCTTTATATATATCCAATTTGTCTGCACCAACACAAGTCAAATTTCTTGTAAGTGCAAACTTACTTGGCAATAAACTTCTGATTCTCATATTACCGGTAAAAAAGATTGGGAAATGGTGATTGGCCAGAAACCTGCACGGTGCACCCCTATTTTTACTCCCCCATGATAATACTATCTGCTCTAACCGGGATAATTGACAACACCTGTAAAAAAAAAAAACGTTGGTCAAAATAATTCATGCTATACTCAATCAGCTTATTATAAGGCATTGGATTGAGATTATTATCTCATTTTTATATTATTCTTTTTCATGAACTCGAAGTTGCCAACACAGCAGCAGGAACTGAAGGTGTTGCCTCATTAGTATCTCTGCTTCTGTCTCCTTGAACCCCAGTCGGCCTCGGCAGATGGCCGCTTACACTGAGTCTGGTTCTGCTAGAGGTTTCTTGCTGTTAAGAGGGAGTTTTTCCTCTCCACTGTCGCAACAAGCATGCTTAGTGTGAGGGATTGCATTCAAGTCAATGACTCGATGCAATCAACTGGTTTTCCTTATAGAAAACTTTAAATCAATTTGATTGGATGATCTGGTGAACTGTAAAGGGCCATGAGATGACATGTGTTGTGAATTGGCGCTATAGAAATAAATTTAAAAATGTTAGAACTGTAAATTTACAGTCATTTTTATCATTTTTCAAGGCTGCACTTTTAAAAAAATGAAATTGTCCAGTGAGCTATTTCCAAACCAACTTTATTTTTGTGTTACACTTGTCTAACAAAATGACAAATCTGTCTGTCTCTGTCTCTAATTGAATTAAAAGTGGCCTCTCATTGCCTGTTCTCCTGCAGGTCAAGGATTCAAGTTTCTCTGTAGGTTAGCCGGTTAGCCGTTAGGTTAGCTGCTCACCTTCAACTATAAAAGCTGAACTTTATGCTAATGCTGCATCATAGGATACCTAGTTACAGTTAGCATTCAGGACTCGGTGCTTCTATTGAAAATATGCAGGAAAGAAGTTGGTCAAGTCCTTTTCCACACTCCTCAGTTGTATCCTTAAATTAGAGGAACACACAGCGAACCCAGGATGGTCTTTTACCCTGGAAAATACTAAAGCCCAGCTCGAGCAGCAGCTAATTCAAATGTGAGGTAAATAACGATATGTGTAGAACAAATATAGTGGATAAATATTAACCTTACCTGGTTTCAGTGGTTGGTTTCAGTGTAAAATGCCCACAGAGCTAGGACTAGCGGATTATGTTTCCCTCACTCTCAATGCTTCCTGTTTTGGCATTTACCCTTCAGAATAAAAGCTCCCATTGATGACTTCCGGTGCCGTAATAAAAGCACAGAATTCCGAAAATAATAAATACAGACTTAACTAAAGACAAGCACAAAGATCCTACAAGTTTAATTTAACTCTATAATTACACCAAATAAAACACAAAAAAAGCTTAAAAGATTAAATACATACAGGTACTTCCATCCATTTACTAAATTAATCAGTTAATCGAGTTATTTTAAAGATTGTGAAATAACCCCCTAAGATTTATGTTTTTTTGAAATGTAAGCACAGTATAATAATAATTCAAAGAAGTTATTTTATTGTCTGCATATTTTACTGTAGTCACTGAAGCCCTAAAATCAATTAGTTACATTTCTAAGCCAACACAAAAGTATTTGTTATTAGTAGTAGTAATAGTAGTAGTAGTAGTTCTATTAGAGCTAATGAAGAATCAACAAACAAACAGGCCTCCTACATAGGCTGGTAACGCATCTGCCAGCTACGTCTGATGAAGTAGCCTACGTCAGCTTCTTTTTTCAAAGGTTTCCATGGAAACGTAAACAAAAACCTGTCCGTGATTTGTGTCCACTTCCATTCTAAACAGTCGCGTGTCCGTAGCAATGGACCTGACCGGCGTCAGACAGGTGTCCTCAGCAGGCCGCCGGGTCTCGCAGCGACCAAAGGAGATCAGCCCCGCAACGAGCCCCGCAGCAGGGGACCGCAGGACGCAGCAGGACCCAGCGGAACATGATAGGTCCAGGAAAAATGCGGTAAAACAGGACGAACTGTGGAAAGATTTGGTGTGCAGAGAGAGGGGACAGGCACAGCAATGGTGAGCTGATGTGTGGAAAGGCAAAAAAAAGATTAACCAACTTAGATCACTCTATTTTAAAAAACAAGTTATCACTTTAATCAAGAAGCTGTGGTCCACAGGGAGAAGACCTGGGACTTTCTTTTAAAATCTGATACTCTGGTAAGCAAAAACAAATATTGCTTTCCTCAACTCTTAAAATCCACAATGCAGTTTTCTATTAATGCATGACTATCTTTTCCACTCCCCATGTGGATGTTTGCAGGGTGGGCCAAGGGAAGAGATATCTTTACCCAACAACATCTCAGTCTTCTCTGATAGCTCACCCAACACCACTAATCAGATTTACGGGAACAGACAGTTCACACCTCTGGGGAGGGAGATGGTCAGACGGGACAGGTTGATTCTCTGGTCTGGAAGCCACAGACGCAGGATGAAGCCAGACCTGGAGCTGCAGCCTTGTTAAAGCCAGGATGTGTCACCAAAGCAGGGGTCTGCACCTGGATATCTTATAAAGCCAATAAATAGTCCAAAATTATTTTTGCATTCTATTATTTCTTGATTATCGTTTGACATTAACTACAGGAATTTAAAAAAGTATGCCACTGCATCTTCAGAAAATAGGATCCAGACAGATCAGTTTCATGTAATCTGAGCTCTGTTGTGTGGTTAAACAGACACCTGAGCTTATTTGGACAACTGAAAGGTTGTATCACCTCATCCGCTCACTGTTGAAAGTATGCAGATTCATAGGAATCAACACAGAAACTATCTTTAACTGTTTTTATTGAACGATTATGTGATAAACCGGCAGGAATCAAAAGGTAAACTTGAAACTGAAGAAAAAATGCTACAAATTTTCAAATTTTTTTATTTTGAAAAACTGCAGTGTGGTTGTGGATCCATCCCCAGAGTCAATACTAGAGAAAAAAAAACTTGCAATCCATCTGAAAGTCTATCTAAACCTTGATCAACATTTTCTTCTGACTAATTTTAATTCAATGATCATGTAAAGAGATCAGCTTTGGATTTCATGTTTCAATTATTATCACCAATTGTTAATAATATTTTAAGTTATTCCATTATGACTTTAGGTGAATGTTTTTAGTTGTCTTATTAGAATGTTCAATTTCGCTTTAAATTTTTAGCTTCAAAGGAGTGATTTAGCTCCATCCCTATTCCCATTAGCTCTCACCAGCTTGTCTTTGTTTAAATAACATTTCCACTGCAATGCTGATACTGACATGAAAGCTTTTGCTTCTACTTGTAGGGATTGGACACTCTGAGGGATTTTTGTATGTAGCCTTTCTCAGAAAATTAGATTTTTAGTTTCACCAGACCAGATATTTTGTCTTCCTCTAAATCCTCTGAAATGTAGCCAAATAAAAGCTAGAGCCTCTCCAAATGCCTCATTTAAAAAATGAATTTCCTTCCATCACTCTTCCATAAATTTCAGAATTAGGAAGCAAAAAACTAATCAGCATTCTGTTAACAGATTCTCCAACTTAAATGTGGATCGGTGCAGTTCCTATGGACATTTTGGCTGCTTTTCTGATCTATCACTCCACCTGCACCATCCTTGGTTTACTTGGCCCATCACAGCTTTATGGTTTTGTAGTTTTAGCATACTAAACCTTTTCCAAATTAGAACAGAGTTCCTTATGAGAACCAGGATGTAGTTTAACAAACTAACCCTCTTTAGTCCTTCTTCTCAACTACATGCATATGGGTATAATTTACCTGGTAAACTGGTTCAACTAAAGACAGCAAAGGGTGTTTTTTAAAAACCTTGAGCCCTGTATCATATTCTCTCTATATAACTCTCTAATATACCTCATATTATGAAAAATATTATTTTATTTGACATGGTCTGTGAATATTTAAGTAAAGCAAACTCCTACATTTCTGACTTATTTGGATGTTCCTGCACCATGGTTTTAAAAGTTGGAGGGAGGGTGTGAAAGTAGTGAAAACAAAATTTAAAAGACAATCATTTAGAGAAAATTGGAAGTCTCTCCAAAGACCTGTAACTGGATTGGCATCACTGTTCATTGATCATTCGCTGCATGCCACGTTTAAAACCTAAAGCTGTTTGGGAAACTTTTTGTTGGGTTTATGTTTCATATTCCAGTTTGATCCCATCCAATGCTGAAAAGAGGACTCTTATAATGATTGGTTGGAATCAAACTTGTTACCCAGATGTAAAAGGCAATACGTTTTAATACAAGATCAGATAGAAATAAATAAAATATTGAATCTGTACAGAAAATGCTAAAAGATCATTAATTAGGAAACTTAAAAATCATAATAATTTGTTCTTTAAATCAAACAGAAAAACAAACAAATAGTAAGGTACTGTGCAGAAATGTAATTAAAAGCTGTATCAAAACAATTAAAACATTAGGGAAGGTGTATTAATTGCTTATATTTCTTCCTGGAGTTGTATCTACAACAAAATTAATAATAAATAAAAGTACAATACTGCTTAACTATTGTGAAAAAAAAAAAAATTCTCAAAGTAAAATAAAAAATAAGACAGTGAAGAAAATATGTTTTAAACCCTAAATGAAATTCATAACTAGAGCAAATATCAAAAATATATATATATTTCTGAGTTTTAGCAGACTTAGCTTTACATTTATTTTTAAACTATAAATGCAAACATAATCCAGGAAATCTTTTTTTTCTCTTCCATCATAAACTCTTCAGTAGAATCGAAAGTAAAGCTGCGTTACTTTTCCAAACCAGGTTTCAAACCCTGTGGTTGACTCTGAACCAATCAGCTTTCACAGGATATACGCGGAAATGAAAAAATTATGCCGGTGTCGACAGGAAGCTGTCAATTTTACATTACATCACCGGAAGTAAGCCACATTTATTTCACATTAAAAGCATATTTTCTTTGATTATTTTATTATATTACGAATAACACTGTTTTTGTGGTTAATTCAATATTTAGAAAATTTCTATTTTATTAAGTGAGTTATAAAATTCCTGATAACAGCATCTTAGCGAGCATAGAAGGTTAATTACCAACTTTATTTTGAAAGTTTTATACCTAATTTCCTGTTACAGCATGCTTATTTCAGTACCTTCACAGTGTTTGCATCACGGCAGCATCTGGAAGCTAGTATTACTGTAGTTAAAGCAGAATAAAGAAAGATTTAAAAAAGATAGAAAGTTCCCATCTTTCAGAAGCATGGAGTCCGACCTGCTGCTGCACATCGCCAACTTCAGCACGCTGTTTATGTGCATGGTGCTGAAGTTTCCGCAGATCTTCGTGCTGATGAGAGCGAAGAGCTCAACGGGGGTCAGCCTCAACAGTCTGCTGCTGGAGCTCATCGGGTAGGTGCTGCTCTGTAGGAGGCTCTGGTCCACTTCTAGTGGGGCTGGAGACTTGATTGCAGGCGGAGAAAAGAGGAACTTGGACAGATGTGAGGAAAGTCTTTCTGTTTTTAACTGCGCACAAAGGTTGTTTTATAATCTTCCAGGTAGTTTATAAGCTGATGCAACTTTATCAGGAGTCATACAAACACTGTTTCTACACTGCAGGGGCGAAGATATAATGGGGGGCAGGGGTGGCCATGGCCACCTGCAGCTAATCTGTGTTCTATTATTGTTATAATATATTAACAATATTATAACAATTATAATGTATTAACAATGTATTATTGTATGTATGTATGCATTATGTATGTATTATGTATGTATTATTGTTAATGTATTAACAATGTTATAATTGTTAATATGTTAACTATTATAATATGTAATAGGGATGGAATAGTTTATGAAAACCGTCCGAACCGTTCGGTTCGACTGTCTCGGTTCGATTCGCATGTGTTGCATTTGGTTCATGCGCGGCTCCTTTTTCTCATAGGCGAAGCGTTTACACTCCAGAGCAGAAGGTGGCGGTACTGCGACCAAAGCCAACCACCAGTAGTAAACAACAAGAAGAAGTGAAGCAGTGTAGCCGGTGTAGCAGAAAAAAAAATCAATTGTTGCAGAGAATTGTGTGGGTATGGCGAGTGGGAAAGAACAGGAGTTGGAAGACGTGCCAGCAGCAATTTATAGGTCTGCTGTTTGGGACCGCTTTGCATTCATGCTGCATTCATGCTTCACACCGGACTCGGATGCGAGTTTACATGCAAAGTTAATGGTTGATGCGCGTCAAGGCGCAGCAAAAGGTCCCGCAGCACGATTTGAGCAGCAGGTGCAGCATGTCTGAAAAATTGAACTTTTGCTGCTTGATGCGCCGCATCAACCAATCAGAGAAGCTGATCTGGGAGCTGGCAGGGAGAGAGATGCAGTGCTGATGATACAGAGCTCTATGATCACTCCTCTGAAACAGTTTATTAATACCAAAATTAACTTAAAATGCTGAAACCTGCCGACAAAGCGTGTTCGCTTTTATTATCCTGGTGCCTGCAGTTTTGATCATGTACATGAAAACCACCTTCCATCCGCCGCTGCAAACCGCGAGGAGGCGACCGGGCCATAGGCTGCTGTTGAATGGGATTCTTACTGACAGCTAGGGCTGGGCGATATAGAAAAAAAGCTTATCGATAAAAAAAAATGCATATTGATCGATATCGATAATTATTGAAAAGATTTGAAACCATATTTTATGTGCAGCTCTGCCTGGACTTTTTATAATATTGCTAAATGATTTAATTTTAATAAAAAACACAAACACAGACTTCCAATTAAATCTTTATTTAACTTTTTTAACCATAACAGAATTGTTTTAAAGAAAAATAACTTAAGAGACCTGAGTTATGTTATTAAATACTGACAAAGAATAAACTAAAGTGACCAGAAAAGTGACCAAAATAAATATAACAAATAAATAATTGCCCTTCCACCGCCGCCCCCGTTTCCTGCTTTAACCTGAGTTATTACTTTGAAGTTTCTGGCCCCTCAGCATTTTTATCTCAATTGTTAGAACTACGTGGGAAACTGCCCAGAACTGAAAATATATATATATTTTCCCTAAATTCCCGAAGATTCCTCGGAGGAGAGCCGCGTTGGGGCCTACACAGCTCGTACTCCTGCGGGTGTGAGCGGCCGAGATGATAAAAAAAAAAAAAAAAAAGTTGGTTGTGTTATCAGACTTGGTTTTCACTGGTTCCCGACACATTTTACAGATGACTGTGGTTTGTTTTTGGTCCGACTTGCCATGACCGAAATACTGCCAGACTGCCGAACTACAAAAACCTTTCTTTGAAACAATTTCTTTCGCCTCTCCTTGCTGCATCTTCATGTGCTCTGTGTTGTGGTTTGAGAGGGCGGTGCTTGGTGACGGCGTGCCTGGGTCCGCGATTGTGATTGGTTGGGAGGAAGCAGTGACTAGCATAAACCTACATGCTAGGCTACAATGAGAAGGACGGAAAACTGCGTTTCTTTTTTATCGAACTTTTATCGACCCTCTTTTTTTCTATTGCGCCACACGTCTATCGATCGATATATATCGTTATTGAATTATCGCCCAGCCCTACTGACAGCGCACCGCCGGTATGTGGGGGTCTGAGCGGCTCCGACAGAAATAATATTGGAAGGCGGGATGGTAATCTGGATGAATTGGCTGCACTGATTAAGTTTTCAGATGGATTTTCTCACTTAAAAACATATTAAAACTACTTTATTCCCACTGATCACAGCAAATATAGCTGCAAGGCAAAGAAAGGATAGAGTAGCTCCATCCAACGAGCGTCAGACACACTTTTTCTACTGCGCAGCCAGAGCAGCAAAGCTGCATCAGATGCGCGTCAAAACTGAACTTGTACAAGCAGCAAAAATGAAGCAGCAGATTTTGCTGCTCCTGCTGCGTCCGGTGCGAACGTAGCATTACCTACGATGACGGTGGAAAGAAAGTTGTGGATGAAAGTGCAACAGTGTGCAAGCATTGTGCAACACGTTTTGTTTATGCTAACAGCAACATGACCAACATGTCAGGCTAACAATCAACATATACCGAACAGAAAACCGTGACGACGAAACCGTGAACCGAACCGTGGATTTTGTGAACCGTTCCACCCCTAACATGTGACAATATATTATAATTGTTAATATATTAACAATTACAAAAAAAAACAATGTAGTTAATTATGCACTTCAATATACTAACATTAAAGATGATATTACATGCTTATTTCAGAACTAGATTTTGTGTTTTATGGGGTAAAGAGAAAATGGTGAGTCTCTGAAAGTCTTCTAGGAGTCTTTAGTGAAATCATAGATAAATAACTATTTTAATAAAACCTTAATAATGAATTTATGTATGTTTTAGTATACTTATACTTTAGTAAATATCAGTTTTATGCAGAATAAGTGTTGATAAAAGTAGGTAAGTAATGACAAAGGAAGAGGTGTTTGCCCCAGAACTCAAATCTGAAAGAATTGTATCCAATATTTATTTAGAAAGCACTGATTTTTAAATATTTGGGTCTATTTGTTAGCAAAGGCTGTAGGAAATATGGATGTTGTGCTTGTTAATTTTCCTGTTGCCATAGTGTAGATTGACCCTGAGGTTCTGGGGCCGATCCACCTTCAGCCCCCCCTCAGTATACATGGCTTATTGCCTGGCCACCCTTATAAAAAAAATTCTGGCTACGCCTCTGCTCTGAGTGTGATTTTATTTTTAGAATTAAGTTCTTAAATATTTTTTTTTTCATGGGGGCACAAAACAAGAGCATGAACAAAGAACAGGGCATTAGTTTACCTTTCAATATACTTAGCTGCTGAACTAAAAAGCTGATTGTGGCTGTGGAGACCCCAGATATAGCAAATAAAAAGTTAGGCCCGATTTCCTTAATAATAATCTTAAAGCTACAATGCGTAATTTTCAGTAACATCAAATAGTCAGACTTCAGCGACATGAACAACCCCTTTTTTAATTGATATTTAGTGATGCAGTATTTAGTCTGTCTCACTAAATACTAATAAAAAAAGCATTGAAGTTTGTCGCTGTAAAATAATCTGAGTAATGGGAGTTTAGACTGTAAGCGCTGGAAGCAGCAAAAAAGCTTCTGCTACTTCATTTTTGATGCTCGTACACATTAAGGTGAGACGTGCATCTAGAGCATCTTTGATGCTCCTGAGACGCGTAAAAAAAGTGTGTCCAGATGCTTCTGCTGCTCTTGTGTTCAATGGTAGAAAGCAGCTTTGCTATATTTGCTGTTATAAGTGGGTAAAAAGCAGTTTTAATATGTTTTTATGTGAGAAACCTGAAAACATCGTCTCTGAGGTCAGTTCATTAAGATTACGATCCTGCCTTCAAATATCATTTCGCTGTCGAAGCCTCTCAGACCACCGGAGGCGCTCTGTTAGTGGGAATCCCATTGAAAGAGAGGGGCTAACATTTGTGGCGGCTGGAAGGTGTTTTTCATGTACATAATCCAAACTGCAGGCACCAGAATAAAAGTGAACATATTTTGTCAGCAGGTTTCGACATTTTAAGTTAATTAAGGCGTTATTAAAGTATGTCAGAGGAGTGATGATAGCGATCTGCATCATCAGTGCTGTGTCTGTCTCCCTGCCAGCTCCCAGATCAGCTTCTCTGATTGGTTGATATGGCACACGGAGCAAAAAAAGTTAAATTTTCCAACTCCAGCAGCTGCTGCTTTTTCGCATCAGATGCTCAGAAGCTTGTGAGGCGCTCTTTCAGCTGCTCAGATGCACTGCACCGCATACCTTTTGCTGCTCCTTGATGCGCGTCAACCATTGACTTTGCATGTAAACTAGCTGCTTCTGCTGCCTCTAGCGCGTGAGGTCTGAATGTAGCAGAAGGTTCAAAAGTTTGGTTAAATTTGCAAGGTGTTGTGGATATTTTTAGCACTCTTTATTAAGATAGATTTAGCATCACTGGGGAAAAAAAGAGAATCTCAAGGAAGCAGAAGTTTCTATACTGTCCAAGAAGCAGGAAGCAATGTCCTAAAGATCAAAGAGTGGGCAGTCAAAAGTTAATATAATTTCTCATCAGCATCATGTATCTGGGGAGGTCGGGGATTCCCATGATAGTTATTGATTTTCTTAATCAACCCAAGATGTCAGAATCCTCTTCTGATCTGAACCGATTACATCTGTCAAAAAATTCTCCTCCGCTCCAGGAAGTCATTACAACTATAAATATTTTTAATCTTTTTCAGATTCATAGTTTTTGTAACTTACCAGATGTACTACGACTACCCACCCCCAACATACCTGGAATATCCCATCCTTATTGCTCAAGGTAAGCTAGGAAGTAACGTGATATAATGAGTATTTTAAGTGTAATGAGTGTAATGAATTAGAACGATGTGATTTCTAGAATTTTTTTCATTTGAGAATTTACCAATACTGGATGCCATTAGAACCTGAAAAGCAAAAGTCTGAACTGGCCCATTAAAATCTTAGTTAAAAAAAATTAATAAATGTATGTAATTATTGCACAGAAATAAGGAATGTACGGATGTAGGATGCAGATACACTGAAAATGCGGAAACACGCAGCAAATACAAAAACTGCTTGTGTACAGAGGTGGGAGATGTAGAGTCAACAAGTCATCTCTATGTCATGTGTTTGTTCTGCTCAGCCGCTGAACCAAGTGTGTCCAAACTGCACAGTGTATTAGATTGTGCAGATTGGACTCACCTGGGTCAGCGGCTGGGCAGAACAAATACATGGAGATGACTCGGTGATGCCGGATCTCCCAGCACTGCTTGTGCGGCTGTAAATCTGTGACCTGCAAACAAAAAAAATAGACTAACATACAAAACGTGCAAAAAAACAGAAACAGCCGCAAGAAATAAATAGATGAATGTAAAAAAAATCAACACACTGGCTTTGCATAACGGAAGTCCTCTAGAACAGCAGGGGGAGACGATATAAACTCATAGATCACTTCTCAGCCACTGAAGGACCGACCCAGGACATCGCACATTTTTATGACAGAGAAAATCCAGCATTAACTAAATTAAAGCAACAATGCATAACTTGACGCAAGTAATACCTTATTATACATATATATGAAAATAATTCTTAGTTCAATATACAGCATGAAGGCGAATACTGATGCTATATTTAGCCTGCCCTTATAAAAAACTATACTCGGATCCATCACTGCCGCGAGCGTTAAGGCAGTCAAAGATCCTCCTAAAATACCTGATCAGATATTTTGTTTTCATAATGTAGGATTTAATGCGTAAAGGCGAGTTTGAGCCTGGAAGTTACAGGCCGACACAATCTGATGGCTAAAAGTTATGCAGCGTTACCTTAGTTTCAAAAATGTGAATTATGCATATATATATTAAATTTTTTCTAATCATAGTAGGTCAAATTGTACATAGAAGCTCATATATATATGCATTCATTCTCATCAAGCGTTAGAGTTGATCAAATAATGCCTGATTTGGATCATGATTATATCCAGCTGGTAGTTTTCTTTATCGCTGTATAGTAGGTAAAAGTAGGATGGATCAGGTGTGTCCCCTGTGTCGTTTAAATGACAGAAAATCGATCAGGAACAACTCTGAATGCGCTAACATCTGTAGGCTACCTTGAACCCAGTGAGTGTAAAGAAAAATTATATAGTTACTCTGCAAATTGCTCTAAGACATTTTTGTGGGGATGCTTTTTAAAACTTGTTGCAGCCTGTTTGTCGAACGTTGTGCGGAGAAGAGTTACGGGAAATTCAAATCAGGAAATGTTTCCAAGATGCTTCTTTTTCTAGAACATTATGAATAAGTTGTACATCGGTGGCCCCTGAAATGAAGCCTTAACCCAGCCTGGAGTGGAGCACGTTTATAACCTGCTCTGTGTGTCATCAGATGTCATTCTCCTGCTCCTGATTCTTCACTACAACGGCAGCCTGCGGCAGAGCCTGATCTACGCCTTGCTGTATCCTTTCGCTCTCCGGCAGTAATAGCTGTGAAACTGGTCATTTGATGCTGAGGGAAATGTATAACCCCTCCCCCAGGGCGCTCTGTGCTTTGCCTTAACGATGCATGCTCAGGTTGGTCGGAGGCTGGAGGCTCCTCACTGTGGAGAGGTGGATCATAGATCTGGCCATGGTAATGCATCAGATTTAAATAAGTCACACACCGTAAAGAGTTGGCACGTCATCAGTCAGGAGTAATGATGTGGAGCTTTGAGAAGAGACTCACCCAGAGCTCATTTCTTTCTCCCTGAAACTCAGCCATACCTGCTTGGTTAATGAGATGAACATGTCTGTAGGCATTTTACATTTCAATAGGTAAAGGAAGTATTCTGCCACTTAAGAGTTTGAGATGTTAGATGGCACATAGAGTAACTTTTTACTGTTTATAACCCAGCCCACCTGCAGTGTTCAATCTGTCGCCTTCTAACTGTGTAATATGTCACCCTTCGATGTCCCCTCAGAGCCTGTGCACATTCATTAGTGCAGCCAGTAAGTTCGCCCAGCTGCAGTGCATGTGGAGGTCCAAGGATGCCGGACAGGTTAGCGCCCTCTCCTGGGCCATGGCCACCTACACGTGTATGGGTGAGTGAGAGACCTGCCTTTCCATTCACTGTGGGCCGTAGAGAATACTGCCCACTTCCAAATAACCTTATAATATCCAGAATTGCACAATACATCATAGAATACTTATCAAAGAAGGTTTGGTCTGAACTACTGTTGGTTTATGTTAAATTCCTTGTGTAAAAATTTGTAATCCTTCTATAATTAGTTTTAAATTGACAGCTTTTTATCGTTATTGTTGTTGAACTGATTCATTCTTTAATAGAACATGTTTGAAACTTAAAAAAAGGCAATGAGTTTCCTTTTGGATTAATACAATATTTTTGAATTAAATGGAATAAAATTAAATGTCATAGATTTCTAATATTTTGGGAATTTTAGAAAGTCTCTGACATGAAGAAAGATTGGTATCCATTATTTAATGGCTGTTTCACTGACATATTTTGTTAAAGTTCTCTCCTGATTGGTTGACCGGTCCCTGCTGACGGCTCCTCAGCTGGAGATTGATGCACTAATGAGATTAACTAGGTTCTGAGATTTAGACCAAATTATATTGTCAACCAACCATACTCGCTCCACGGGGTCAGGGAGGAATGGTCAGCTTCTCAAAAAAGATGCTGTGTTAAACCTGGCTCGGATTTTAAGTTGCGTTAAGACCGAACGCGAAACATGCAATTATTTAGCGAAATCTGTCTCCTTTTGCTCGCCCAGAAATTCATCTGACCAGGGAAAGCCTTTTGCATGGTGGGTGAAAGGCTCCTACATCACAGGTTCTGCTGGTCGTTGGTTTCACCTCATCATGGCGGACATGGATTTACAACGCAACAGGCAGTGTTTTTTTTACTTTAGAGGGCCAAACAAATCTATTGGCGTTTCTAGGTTTACCAGATTCCCACAGTAATAATCTAAGCAATAATCTAAATAGAATCGAATCGTGAGGTTCCTAACAATACCCAGCTCTACTTTCCGCCCTCTACATATCGATAATATGGGAATCTTTCACTTCAGCTGTGAAATTTGCATTAGCTGTGAACGTACCTTTGCATTTGATTTGATAATTTCAAGCAACAGTGTGTAACTTTTAAAACTAAATATTAGCTTAATTTGAGATTAATAGATTTTTCAAGTCAGTATATATGACGCTTGTTTTCCAATGCTCCATATGCGCTGACCTTCTCAAAAACTCACCCTGTTTAACCTTAGAGGGTCAGATCACTCATGTGACCCAGAACCCTGCTTTACAGCAGTCTGAGCTTCCCTTAAACACCAGAGATAACAACGCTAAAAGTTGTTTGGCAACAAAACATAAAAAAAACATGTTTATCTGATGTAGGATTTAATCCAGAAGATTGAATGCAGCACTGAATTTATTAGTAACTCCATGACTTCTCAGTTTGCTGATGCAAATTGGTTGGCTATCAGAATCCAAAACACTGAAGGAGACTGTTGCCATTGGCGATAAGTGGTGCTACACTTTGAAATTACAGATCAGGTGCCCCCTTCTTGCTTTAATAGCTTTTCACTCACCCGAAAGTTTATCCTTTTAGCTTTAGATTATTTACAATCTAATGTCTGTTGGTATTTATATTTGCTTGTTTGAGTCACTCTATGATTCTTGAAAGGTTGATCCTTTTCACATTATTAAGTTAAAATAACAATTTCAGGTTGATTCTAAATTATATATGGTATTCAAAATTCGCCCCAAGCTTAATTCTATGCAACAGTAAATTGCCTTCTGGGGAAATAGCATTCATCATTTTTATTGACCTTTGAGATATGAGACTCCCTGGAGTTTTAACATTAATATAGCTTAATACAAGTTACCATTGCTACAGGAAGTCTGCCCTCCTTCCTCCAGCTGCTTCAGGGTATTAAAGAGGACTTCATAAACCAGCCAATAAGGTTCAGTCAGCATCACTTTTGCTTGAAAAGAATAAACTTACAAAAAGTATATAACTCTGAGCAGTAATGACTTATTTAAAAGAGCAATATCTTTATATGATATTTTAAGAAAGACCCTATAATAAGGTGTGAAAAGATTATGCCCGAAGGGATTGTTAATTCACTGCAGTTGAATTGGTCAGTCTCTGGAAAGTTTTTCCCGACCTCCTCAAGCATGGCAGAAAAGATGTGAAAAAGGACTATGCAAGATCTTTTTCTATCGACCACTGTCATAATATTCCTTAGCCAGTCCTAACTCTGTGTTTAGGCCTTCCACTGCTGGAATATGGGAAAGAAATAACTAAATCGTTTTGTGTTTTAATGCAGAGAAGTACAGATCTGGAACAGATCCTAGATTGTTTCTAAATCCAGATTAGAAAGTGAATGCTGAGTAAATATGGGCTCCTGGGTGTGGTTCCTTTGAAGCACACCAGCAGCAGTACATGCCTTGCTAATCTTTTTTAATCTCTCCCAAATTATTTTATTTTTATGGTTGCGGTTACCCTCGTTCCCTGTTTGCCTTTTTCCACCACACTTTTTCCTTCCACTTAACATTCCTATACATGCATTCTGCAGCTTTTTTTAGTCCTATCTGATAAATACACCTCTGCATACCCCCCTCCCTAAACTTTGATTCTTATTTAATAGACATACAAAAAAAAAACTTAAACGGGAAGAATGCACCCAAACAGGTAAACTAGACATTTGAAATGAAAGACCTAAAATCAGATATCTGCATTTCAAATGACTGTTATTATAATCTCAAATGAATTTATTTTGATGCATCAGCTGCTAAATTTCAACAAATTCTTCCACTTGCATCACTTTCAGGTTATGAATATGGATAATCTCTTCATTTTGCTACATGTTCAGCAAATCAGCATTTCAACTCTTCATTAATTAAATATGAGAGTCAGAAAATGTGCATGTCAGTAACTCAGCCTCCTTTTTGTTTCAGCGCGGATTTACACAACCACAGTGACGACAGGAGACGTGCAGGGTAAGCTGGCATAAAAATGTTTGGTTTTCTACTCTAGACTTCCTCCATTGCAGCAGCTGTGTGCAATCGTGCTGCAGTATGGCTTTATATTAAACAATGATCAGCACATACAGATATCTGTGTATATTGCATGTATAAAAAAAGTTGTTTTAATATTTTAAAAGATGAACATTATAATGTGTTAAGCTCATAGTTGGTTAAAGTCTTTCTGAGGATTTGTTGGGAAGTTTTAAACTGTTAATAGCTTACCTGAAGATAGCACTCTAATCATCTGTAATATTCATATTTTATATATTCAGAGAAAAAATATACTAATAGTGATACATTTAGATTTTAATCAGTTTTCGTAGATAGCTAATAAGTAGATTAATAGTTAGGTTGAGCTAATAAAACTGCTTTGTAGGCCAATATGGAGGTTAGGTGTCATGCAAAAGTATTTTCCTGCATTAAGGAGGAATCATAAAGGAAGCTAGAGAAATACAGAGAACAAAGAAACTTTTAAACAGCATTTTCTAGATCTTGCAAGACGTCTGATACACTTTTCTGCTTGTGAGAAAGAATCGTATTTTGAGCAGATAACAGGAAAGCTTAACAGTTTGGAAAAGAGGAACTGAACTTTCTGAGGTTTGAACCTCTGCCTATTGACCATAAAGAAAATATCCGCTTCTCAAAATTAAGGTAAAGATCTATATTATGTACACTCACCGGCCACTTTATTAGGTACACCTGTCCAACTGCTCGTTAACACTTAATTTCTAAGCAGCCAATCACATGGCGGCAACTCAGTGCATTTAGGCATGTAGACATGGTCAAGACAATCTCCTGCGGTTCAAACCGAGCATCAGTATGGGGAAGAAAGGTGATTTGAGTGACTTTTCAGAAACTGCTGATCTACTGGGATTTTCCTGCACAACCATCTCTAGGGTTTACAGAGAATGGTCCGAAAAAGTAAAAACATCCAGTGAGCGGCAGTTCTGTGGGCGGAAATGCCTTGTTGATGCCAGAGGTCAGAGGAGAATGGCCAGACTGGTTGGAGCTGATAGAAGGGCAACAGTGACTCAAATAACCACCCGTTACAACCAAGGTGGGCAGAAGAGCATCTCTGAACGCACAGTACGTCGAACTTTGAGGCAGATGGGCTGCAGCAGCAGAAGACCACACCGGGTGCCACTCCTTTCAGCTAAGAACAGGAAACTGAGGCTACAATTTGCACACGCTCATCGAAATTGGACAATAGAAGATTGGAAAAACGTTGCCTGGTCTGATGAGTCCTGATTTCTGCTGCGACATTCGGATGGTAGGGTCAGAATTTGGCGTCTACAACATGAAAGCATGGATCCATCCTGCCTTGTATCAACGGTTCAGGCTGGTGGTGGTGGTGTCATGGTGTGGGGAATATTTTCTTGGGCCCCTTGGTACCAATTGAGCATCGTTGCAACGCCCCAGCCTACCTGAGTATTGTTGCTGACCATGTCCATCCCTTTATGACCACAATGTACCTAACTTCTGATGGCTACTTTCAGCAGGATAATGCGCCATGTCATAAAGCTGGAATCATCTCAGACTGGTTTCTTGAACATGACAATGAGTTCACTGTACTCAAATGGCCTCCACAGTCACCAGATCTCAATCCAATAGAGCGTCTTTGGGATGTGGTGGAACGGGAGACTCGCATCATGGATGTGCAGCCGAAAAAAATCTGCGGCAACTGTGTGATGCCATCATGTCAATTGGACCAAACTCCCTGAGGAATGCTTCCAGCACCTTGTTGAATCTATGCCACGAAGAATTGAGGCAGTTCTGAAAGCAAAAGGGGGTCCAACCCGTTACTAGCATGGGGTACCTAATAAAGTGGCCGGTGAGTGTAGAATACACATATTTTCAGATTGGAGTTCTTGCAAAGCTAGCAATGCTAATAGGTAATATAAAAAGCTGCAATGCAAGATCATCATGTCTGCTTTCTAGAGAAAATTTCCGAGATACTTCTAAAAAAGGCCACACAAAAGAAATAATTTTTATTTTTGCTATTAGGTACTTAGACACTAGATAATTTGAATGTTAACACAATCTCTTGCCATATAGTTAATAAAAAAAAAATTTGAAACTGCAGCATTTAGCCTTTTCATAACATGAGGACCCAAATTTGGGTCCTCAGCACTCGCCCCAAGATGGTTTTAGAAATGTAACATATTCTCTGGGGTCTTACCTTTATTTTGATACCAAAACAATTAAAATAAACTGTGTAGTTCTTGAGGTATATTAAATTCATTTTGGGCATGTTATTTTCAAGCATATTTCTCGAAAACAGGCCTAGTGTCCAAGAGGTTAGCATAAGTTGGTAAAACATTTTTTCATACGAATACTGGAGATTATAATCTTTTATACAAAATTGTGACCAATGCATCCTAACTAATTAGAAACTTTGTATAATATTTATTTTCAATATCTTCTATCCATCTCTATGTAATTTTTTGTGTTCTTTAATTCAGTTCAATTCGGTTTATATACCACCAATTCACTTTACAGAGACAATGGAATAAAATCAGCCAAAAGGGTTGGTTCAAACCTATCTATTGAAAACCAGCTGGTTCCATATGGCCTCTCCTGATTTGCAGCAATCCCTCACACTGAGCATGCATGCAGCGACAGTGGAGAGGAAGAACTCCCTTTAAGCTGAAATTAATTTCCAACCGACACAGAAGCGCTGATCTATAAATAATATTAACTACAGAATGAACAGTTAAGCCGATGAACGTTTGTAGCCTGGTCATAAAATTAGACAGGTTTTCTGTATCACAGACAAAAACCGGTCGTTGTTACACAGGAGAAGAGCGTGATAAACAGATCTGCCTCCCATTCTACTTTTAGAGCAAAGTAGTTAGGAACATAGAAAACAATCAGATCTCTGAGATAACATGGAGCTTGCTTATTTAGGGCTTTATAGATGAGTAGGAGAACTTTGTATTCTGGGCTTTACAGGGAACCAATAAAAAGATAAAATAGAAAATCTATGATTTTTTTTTAAATGTCATCACAGCTGTGGCTGCCGTTGCATTTAGTCTGGAAATTTTCCATGCCAGTTTTTTACTCCAACACCCCCAACAGTGCTTTCCCGAACTGCAGAAGACTAAAGTTTTCATTTAACAGGCAGCAAATACATTTATATTTCTACAGCTTTGAATACACAGTTTATGAATAAAATTAAGCATAAACCTTGTTGGTAATGGTCTTTTCTCTTGTTGCAGTTCTCGTTCGATTTGTGGCAATGACTCTGCTGAACTTGTGGGTGCTGCTCACTGTTATCTATTACCAACAAAGAAGAAGCAGCTCAAAGAAAGCAGATTAAATCCAGGGGGCAACCTGGACGGGCTGTGCTTCGGAGCCCACTGCATCGCCAATGATATAGGAACAAACAGTCTAACAGGTTAACGGTTACATTTCTGATGAAAAGAGATTCACCCTTTTTCACTGCCAGGGATTTTACTTATATAAAAAAAGTTCTGGTCTTTACCACGTTCTTAAATGGATCAAATCTTACCTTTATTATATAAAAAAAAAAAAAAAGATTACCGGTATATACTTCCAGTATTTTGATGAAAATCTGTTGGTGAATGAAAACCCTGATATTTCCATAGGATTAAAGAGGAAAGTTCAAGCCAGGAGCTGCTAATTAGACCAGGGATCACACTGATCAATATATTAAAGGAGAAGTTCGGTTTTTTACACTTTAAGCCCATTTTCTGTAGTGTCCAGGATGAAATCGAATGATCGACACCAAAAGTTTGACAATTGGTCCTGTCTCTGCTTTTTGGCTCATTTAGAATCCCCCCCTGGCTGCTTTAGAATGGCTTTCATAGAGCATGTCCGATAATGTCCTTAAAACAACCTTAAACGTTCTTTTTTTAAAATATGCTACTCACCGTGTCGTCAGCGCTGTTCAATGACGTTCCAAAAAAAGTTTCGTGAAGAAAAAACTTTCCTGTAGTGTTTTATTTAGCATTTTGTAAATCCCATTGAGTTCTGTAGGAATAGTCAATATTCCGCTGCCACCGGAAACGGAAATGGGGCCTGTTTACACAGTTGTAGTCTTTTCGCTTCACTCTGTGTACTCCGACGTCGAGAATCAAGAATCCACCTTTCGTATTCCATTTTCAGAGTTTTTTAAAGTGTTTAACAGAGACGTTAGCACCTCGACGTCGGAGTACACAGAGTGAAGCGAAAAGACTACAACTGTGTAAACAGGCCCCATTTCCGTTTCCGGTGGCAGCGGAATATTGACTATTCCTACAGAACTCAATGGGATTTACAAAATGCTAAATAAAACACTACAGGAACGTTTTTTCTTCACGAAACTTTTTTTGGAACGTCATTGAACAGCGCTGACGACCCGGTGAGTAGCATATTTTAAAAAAAGAACGTTTAAGGTTGTTTTAAGGACATTATCGGACATGCTCTATGCAAGCCATTCTAAAGCAGCCAGGGGTGGATTCTAAATGAGCCAAAAAGCAGAGACAGGAGCAATTGTCAAACTTTTGGTGTCGATCATTCGATTTCATCCTGGACACTACAGAAAATGGGCTTAAAGTGTTAAAAACCGAACTTCTCCTTTAACTCCTGGTTTGAACACCAACAGAGCGTACAGGTCTAACAACACAATGCCAAGATTGAAGGAAGTCCTAAGAGAAGCAATGTTTTCTGCTCGTTTTTTCCCCAAGGCATGAATCAACAGTAAAGGTCCTTTTCAGTTAACTCTGCAGTCAAACTTTGCAAAGCTCAGATAAAATGCAGGAATCCCAAGAGCTTCAATGTCTCAGGTAGTTGGTGTCACTTTAGTGCAGGAAAGATCTGGTCACAGATTTTATTGGCAAAATCTAAAATGCTTTTTTAGATAAATAAATTCTTGACATTTATCATCTATTAGAAACAAACTAATGGAGGATGGTATCCATTAACACCTGATTTGATGTAAAAAAGTCTTTGGAAGGAAAAATATTTTTAGTTTTCGCTTCTACGACATGTCATATTAATGTTTTGAGAATATAAACAATTTTAATCACAAAGGGGGATATTTTCCTATGGAAAAATATCACTATGACCGTTACTCATAGACCAAATCACTCTTGGTTAGGTCATTCATTCAACAGCAAAAGCTTGGTCCAAACTTGTCAAACCACAGTGGGAAAAACTATAACTGAATGTCTGAAAAGGGAGGAATAACCCAGAGCTGGACTTGGTTTACGTGGCAATCCAGTTAGAAATCTCTCATTTGTTTCTGGCCATCTTAGTCCTCCAGTTTTTAGTTTTTATATATCCAGCCTTCTTGGCTGAGTCAGTCTTTCAAAAGGCGATCAGTTCTGACCGTCTATCATTTTAGATCCTTACAGTAAGTTTTAATATTTCGTCAGAAAATAAACTGACTTCAGTAAACATCTACATGAAAGAGGGACCACTTTATTTGATCAGAGCTCTGACTCTCCTGATAGCCCAAAATGAGATCAGAACCTCAATCTATTGAAACAGATAGGGTATAAAAAAAAAACACCCAAAACCATAAAAAGCTAATATATTAATATCTACTTTCAATTTTTGTGTGTTGTTTATCCCTAAAGAAAATCATAGAAATCCCTGACTCCTATGAATATAGTCTAAGAAATGGGTCTAATAATGTGAACTGGAGCAGTCTGAGCATCTCGGGTTACATTTAAATAATTTACCACCTGCTAAAGAACATATGAACAGAGATAGGGTGAACTTACTTCTTCAGATTTTATATAAATATACTGATCAAACATTCCAATACTGATTATTCCTGTAGCTTTGAAGTATTTGTTTTTAACCAAAAAGTTTTTACCGTCAAAACTCCAGTTTATTCACATCTAATGTTATTATCTGTTAGGATTTTGACAAAGATGACAAACACTGTATTTTTAAGACCTTTTATACTGTATGTGTGAAATTCCTTTCTGTAATGCTGAAAAAATACAAATATTGAATATTTTACTGAAATTTAAAATGCATTTTTGAAGAAGTTGAATAAAAATCTGAACCAAAAAAGGCACATCCATGTCTTTATATTGATAAGTGATTAATATCATCATTATAGAGCCGTTTGGTAGCAAACATGCAATCACGATGTAAAGGCCCTTAAATACAAAGTGGACAAGGCTGTATAAATAATATAATGTGCACAGTATGGCATGTAAAATATAAATTGTGGGTATTTATATGTATAAAACATGCTTCTTGGTTAAAGGAGAGCTGTCTGTACACAACATACAGTTTACTCTCCAGGCGCTTGTATGAGCCGCAAACACACAACGCATCCAATCTAAAAGTTCGGTTACCTTTAATAGACAAAAATATCTGAATAAAGCCTTCAGTGGACTAGTGCTGCTCAGGACGAGGTTTTTCATGCCTTAAAGGTCGCTGCTGCTTTAAAAAAAAACACCCTGGTGGAGGCGTGTGGAAAGCATGCAGGTTCGCTCCAAGCAGCTGATGGAAACAGGCTTTAATCAAGTATATTTGGTAATAGGATGCCCGGTGTCGCCTCTGGTACAGCACCAGATTCTACATTCAAACTGAACAAAAAAAGGAGGAAAACACGGTAAACATCATCCCTTGGATTGGACAGTGCAGGTTTCTCGCTTTGTAACCGCTACTGCAAGCAGAGCAAGTGTTTCACTGACAAATCACAGTAAGAGGCAACCAGAGAGTTATTCACTCTGTCCTCCTACTCTGAGTTCCTGTGAAGTAACAGCTTCCTGTACCTTAATTCGGATTCTAATACCAGAACCTTGGAAAGCGAAAAAGCTACAATCATGTGGAGAACAAAAACCATTGGGATAAAAACCCAACAGAATATTTTTAAGTGTCATGTTCCCCTTTAAACCCTTCAATCTGTTCACAGTTTTTAAGCTGAATGTCTTATTTTTGGCTGTTTGAACCTCCAAAGCTTTTTTGTTTTTGCATGCTCCATCCATTGCACTGTTTCCTGTTGAGAACCGTTGAGGTAAGTGAATTCCCATCCAGCCTCTCCCTGTTTTTTGTTTTTATTCTGTAGAAGGAGGAACTCTCAAGAAGCACAGCAGACTTTGTTCATAAGCCGTCCAGCTCACAGAAACGCAGCCAAGCTTGGTTGTTATGAAGTGACTGAAAGGAGTGGGGAGCCTTTCCTCCCAGGATGGAGCAAGGGATGGATGTGGAGTTGCTGACCTGCAGATGGAACATCGTAGGAAACAAACTGCATCACCTTGGAGACGCATCAAGCAGGGTTAACTAGAGAAAACAGAGAGACAGATGTTCAGCACTGCACATATAGCTGATTATTTAAATAATAGGAAACACTTTACAATAAGGAACAGAAAACGGGATCACCTGCTAGATAACTAACAAGGAACTTGAGAGCACAAGGAAACCAAGAGTTACTATTCAGGAACTAATGAGGAGTTAACAAGGAACTAATTCAAAGTTACCAAGGAAACAAAGATGAACTAATTAGGAACTAATGGGGAGTTACCAAGGAAACAAAGGACAAACTAATGAGGAGTTAACAAGGAACATATCAGGGACTAATTAAGAGTTACCAAGGAAACAAAAGACGAACTAAACAGGAACTAATGGGGAGTTACCATGGAAATAAAGATGAATTAATCAGGAACTAATGGGGAGTTAAAAAGTACTTCTTAGGGGACTACTGGTTGGTTAATGACAAATTAGAATAGAAAAATAAATGTTTGTTCTGAATAACCCTATGGTTCTGAATCACAAATATGAAATCTACTTTACTGAGTAGAAAATTATTTCCCAGCTGTTATTTAATGGACTTCATTGTGTGAAGCAACATATCAAGTACTTACTAAAGAACTAATAGTTACCCATCAGTACCTAACCATTATCTAATGTTTTCATGTACCCTAAAGTAAAGATGTAAAAAATCATACCAAGTACTTACTGAGGAGCTATTGATTACTTAATCACTACCTGAACTATTGTTTTTGTGTACCCTTAAGTAAAGTAAGACTATCCATTAGTTGTTTCTTAGTTGTTTCTTAACTACCCATTAGTTCCCTAGGCGCTCTGTAATAGTTCATTACATTTTGTTTAGCTTATTGTAATGGGTTACCAAATTACATTTACTTTTAAATAAGAATTGAAAGCAAAGGTTTTACTTTACAATGAGAGTTTCTAATCCACATCGGCCCTGAGCACGTTTTTGCATACTAGAACTGGCTGGACATTGGATCACTCTTCTATTTAGACTAACTGATTTTCTGGCATAGAGTTAAATATTCTTCTGGTACTTGCACCATGTTTTAAGGTCGGGGATGTCCTCTGGGATCTGAAAGCTTCACCTAGACTCCCTGCTGCTCTGATGTTTAGCTGAAATGTGTGCTGAACATTATATTCTGCTTATACATGCATTAGAAGGGAAGCTCAAGCTTCTGATTCACCCAGTGACAACGTGATCCTGACCATCAAGTAAACTGATTCACAAGCTGCACAGTGTGCACCGAAGAAAGTGTGTTCACCCCCTGCTTGTGGGCCCACACCACTGCT